GTTTGATACTTTTCTGTACGTGAAATAGCAAATGAACTAATTTTCATTGTAACAGACTGAAGAAAAGGTTTTGATAGTTTGTTCTTTTCCTCTTGAGTCAACTGATATAATTCCGAACTCTGAATTTTTAGTAAACTAGTTGACATTGTACTTGTGTGAGTTGAAAATTTTAACAGTTTTCTGGTTTCCTCTACCGTTATTTGGAATTCTGTTCTCGAAATTGCAAATGAACTTCTTGCTACTGTAATTAATTGAGGTGGGGCCTCTGATAGTTCAGTTTTTTCTTTAAGTGTTATTTTATTTGTTTCTGAACTAGTTATTTTAAATGAATTACTTCTTACTGAACTAGACTGAGGTTGAAGTTTTGTTAGGTTACTTTTTTTCTTCTTTAGGTATCTGATAAGTTTCAGTAACAGGAATTTTGAATGAACGGGTTGGCATTTCACTTGATTGAGGTGGAGATTTCAATAGTTTTCTTGTATGATCTTGAGTTATTTTATAATTTTCTGTACTTGAAATTGCAATTGAACTAATTTTTATTGTATTTGGCTGGGGTGAAGGTTTTGATGGTTTATTTTTTTGCTCTTGAGGTATTTGATATTTTCAGTACTCGGAACTTTTAATAAACTAGTTTTCATTTTACTTGATTGAGGTGGAGATTTCGGTAGTTTTCTTGTTTCTTCTTGCGTTGTTTGATACTTTTCTGTACTTAAAAATGCAATTGAACTACTTTGCATTGTCCTTGACTGCGGTGAGGTTTATAGTTCCGTTTTTCCTTTGAAGTATTTGATATTTTTAGTTAGGAATTTTTAATAAACTATTTGACAGCGTACTTAGTTAGGTGAAGATTTCGATAGTTTTCTGTTTCTTCTTGAGTTATTTTATACTTTTCTGTACCTAAATTGTAATTGAACTATTTTCAGTGTACTTGACTGGGGTGAAGGTTTTGATAGTTCCCTCTTCTCCTCTTTATGGAATTGATACTTTTTAGAACTCGGAATTTTTAATAGGCTGGTTGGCATTTTACTTGATAGAGGTGGATATTTCGATAGTTTTCTTGTTTTTTCTTGGGTTGTTTGATACTTTTCTGTACGTGAAATAACAAATGAACTTTTTTCATTGTAATTGTTGTTTGATACTTTTCTGTACGTGAAAAACAAATGACAATTTTCATTTTAACAGACTGAAGAAAAGGTTTTGATAGTTTGTTCTTTTTCTCTTGAGTCAACTTATATGATTCCGAACTCTGAATTTTTAGTAAGCTAGTTGACATTGTACTTGCGTGAGGTGAAGATTCTAACAGTTTTCTGGTTTCCGCTACCGTTATTTTATATTCTGTACTCGAAATTGCAAATGAACTTCTTGCTACGGTAATTAATTGAGTTGTGACCTCTGATAGTTCAGTTTTTTCTTTAAGTGTTATTTTATTTGTTTCTGAAGTAGTAATTTCAAATGAATTACTTCTTACTGAACTAGCCTGAGGTTGAGGTTTTGTTAGTTCACTTTTTTTCTTCTTTAGGTATCTGATATTTTTCAGAGAATTAAAGAAAGGTTTCACTTGATTGAGGTGGAGATTTCAATAGTTTTCTTGTATGATCTTGAGTAATTTTATAATTTTCTGTACTAGAAATTGCAATTGAACTAATTTTTATTGTATTTGGCTGGGGTGAAGGTTTTGATGTTTCATTTTTTTGTTCTTGAGGTGTTGGATATTTTTCAGTACTCGGAACTTTTAAGAAACTAGTTTTCATTTTACTTGATTGAGGTGGAGATTTCGGTAGTTTTCTTGTTTCTTCTTGCGTTGTTTTACACTTTTCTGTACTTAAAATTGCAATTGAACTACTTTTCATTGTACTTGACTGGGGTGAAGGTTTTGATAGTTCCGTCTTTTCCCCTTGAAGTATTTGATATTTTTCAGTTACTCGGAATTTTTAATAAACTATTTGACAGTGTACTTAATTGAGGTGAAGATTTCGATAGTTTTCTTGTTTCTTCTTGAGTTATTTTATACTTTTCTGAACTTAAAATTTTAATTGAACTACTTTTCATTGTACTTGACTGGGGTGAAGGTTTTGATAGTTCCCTATTCTCCTCTTTAGGGAATTGATATTTTTTAGAACTCGGAATTTTTAATAGGCTGGTTGGCATTTTACTTGATAGAGGTGGATATTTCGATAGTTTTCTTGTTTCTTCTTGGGTTGTTTGATACTTTTCTGTATGTGAAATAACAAATGAACTAATTTTCATTGTAATTGTGTTTGATACTTTTCTGTACGTGAAATAACAAATGAACGAATTTTCATTGTAACAGACTGAAGAAAAGGTTTTGATAGTTTGTTCTTTTTCTCTTGAGTCAACTTATATGATTCCGAACTCTGAATTTTCAGTAAGCTAGTTGAAATTGTACTTGCGTGAGGTGAAGATTTTGCCAGTTTTCTTGTTTCCTCTACCGTTATTTTATATTCTGTACTCGAAATTGCAAATGAACTTCTAGCTATTGTAATTAATTGAGGTGTGGCCTCTGATAGTTCAGTTTTTTCCTTAAGTGTTGTTTTATTTGTTTCTGAACTAGTTATTTCAAATGAATTACTTCTTACTGAACTAGCCTGAGGTTGAGGTTTTGTTAGGTCACTTTTTTCTTCTTTAGGTATCTGATATTTTTCAGTAATAGGAATTTTGAATGAACGGGTTGGCATTTCACTTGATTGAGGTGGAGATTTCAATAGTTTTCTTGTATGATCTTGAGTAATTTTATAATTTTCTGTACTTGAAATTGCAATTGAACTAATTTTTATTGTATTTAGCTTGGGTAAAGGTTTTGATGGTTCATTTTTTTGCTCTTGAGGTATTGGATATTTTTCAGTACTCGGAACTTTTAAGAAACTAGTTTTCATTTTACTTGATTGAGGTGGAGATTTCGGTAGTTTTCTTGTTTCTTCTTGCGTTGTTTGATACTTTTCTGTACTTAAAATTGCAATTGAACTACTTTGCATTGTCCTTGACTGGGGTGAAGGTTTTGATAGTTCCGTCTTTTGCCCTTGAAGTATTTGATATTTTTCAGTTACCGGAATTTTTAATAAACTATTTGACAGTGTACTTAATTGAGGTGAAGATTTTGATAGTTTTCTTGTTTCTTCTTGAGTTATTTTATACTTTTCTGTACTTAAAATTGTAATTGAACTACTTTTCATTGTACTTGACTGGGGTGAAGGTTTTGATAGTTCCCTCTTCTCCTCTTTAGGGAATTGATATTTTTTAGAACTCGGAATTTTTAATAGGCTGGTTGGCATTTTACTTGATAGAGGTGGATATTTCGATAGTTTTCTTGTTTCTTCTTGGGTTGTTTGATACTTTTCTGTACGTGAAATAGCAAATGAACTAATTTTCATTGTAACAGACTGAAGAAAAGGTTTTGATAGTTTGTTCTTTTTCTCTTGAGTCAACTTATATGATTCCGAACTCTGAATTTTCAGTAAGCTAGTTGAAATTGTACTTGCGTGAGTTGAAGATTCTAACAGTTTTCTGGTTTCCGCTACCGTTGTTTTATTTTCTGTACTCGAAATTGCAAATGAACTTCTTGCTACTGTAATTAATTGAGGTGTGACCTCTGATAGTTCATTTTTTCTTTAAGTGTTATTTTATTTGTTTCTGAAGTAGGAATTTCAAATGAATTATTTCTTACTGAACTAGCCTGAGGTTGAGGTTTTGTTACTTCACTTTTTTCTTCTTTAGGTATCTGATATTTTTCAGTGACAGGAATTTTGAATGAACGGGTTGGCATTTCACTTGATTGAGGTGGAGATTTCAATAGTTTTCTTGTATGATCTTGAGTTATTTCATAATTTTCTGTACTTAAAATTTCAATTGAACTATTTTGCATTGTCCTTGACTGTGGTAAAGGTTTTGATAGTTCACTCTTTTCCTCTTGATGAATTTGATATTTTTCAGTACTCGGAACTTTTAATAAAATAGTTTTCATTTTACTTGAATGAGGTGGAGATTTCGGTAGTTTGCTTGTTTCTTCTTGAGTTGTTTGATATTTCTCTGTACTTAAAGTTGCAATTGAACTACTTTGCATTGTCCTTGACTGAGGTGAAGGTTTTGATAGTTCCCACTTCTCCTCTTTAGGGAATTGATATTTTTTAGAACTCGGAATTTTTAATAAACCGGTTGGCATTTTACTTGATTGAGGTGGAAATTTCGATAGTTTTCTTGTTTCTTCTTGGGTTGTTTGATACTTTTCTGTACGTGAAAAACAAATGAACTAATTTTCATTTTAACAGACTGAAGAAAAGGTTTTGATAGTTTGTTCTTTCCTCTTGAGATAATATTTCAGAACTCTGAATTTCCAGTAAGCTATTTGACATTGTACTTCTGTGAGGTGAAGATTTTGCCAATTTTATTGTTTTCTCTCCCGTTATTTTATATTCTGTACTCGTAATTGCAAATGAACTTCTTGGTACTGTAATTAATTGAGGTGGGGCTTCTGATAGTTCAGTTGTTTCCTTAAGTATTATTTTATTTCTTTTTGAACTCGAAACTACAAATAAATTACTTCTTATTGAACTATACTGAGATAGAGGTTTTGTTAGGTCACATTTTTCTTCTTTAGGTATCTGATATTTTTCAGTAATAGGAATTTTGAATGAACTGCTTGGTATTGTACTTGATTGAGGTGGAGATTTTAATAGTTTTCTTGTTTCTTCTTGAGGTTTTTCATATTTTTCTGTACGAGAAATTACAAATGAATTACTTTTCATTGTAACAGACTGAAGAAAAGGTTTTGATAGTTTGTTCTTTTCCTCTTGAGTGAACTGATATATTTCAGAACTTTGAATTTTTAGTAAACTAGTTGACATTGCACTTGAAGATTTCGCCAGTTTTCTAGTTTCTTCTCCCGTTATTTCGTATTCTGTACTCGAAATTGCAAATGAACTTCTTGGTACAGTAATTGATTGAGGTGGGGCCTCTGATAGTTCAGTTGTTTCCTTAAGTGTTATTTTATTTGTTTCTGAGCTAGCAATTTTAAACGAATTACTTCTTATTGAACTAGACTGAGGTTGAAGTTTTGTTAGCTTACTTTTTTTCTTCTTTAGGTATCTGATATTTTTCAGTAATGGGAATTTTCATTAAACTGGTTGGCATTTCACTTGATTGAGGTGGAGATTTCAATAGTTTTCTTGTATCTTCATGAGTTAATTCATAATTTTCTGTACTTGAAATTGCAAGTGATCTAATTTTTATTGTATTTGGCTGGGGTGAAGGTTTTGATGGTTCATTTTTTTGCTCTTGGGGTATTTGATATTTTTCAGTACTCGGAACTTTTAAGAAACTAGTTTTCATTTTACTTGACTGAGGTGGAGATTTCGGTAGTTTTCTTGTTTCTTCTTGCGTTGTTTGATACTTTTCTGTGCTTAAAATTGTAATTGAACTCCTTTTCATTGTACTTGACTTGAGTGAAGGTTTTGATAATTCCCTCTTCTCCTCAATAGGGTTTTTGATATTTTTATAACTCGGAATTTTTAATAGGCTGGTTGGCATTTTACTTGATAGAGGTGGATATTTCGATAGTTTTCTTGTTTTTTCTTGGGTTGTTTGATACTTTTCTGTACGTGAAATAACAAATGAACTAATTTTCATTGTAACAGACTGAAGAAAAGGTTTTGATAGTTTGTTCTTTTTCTCTTGAGTCAACTTATATGATTCCGAACTCTGAATTTTCAGTAAGCTAGTTGAAATTGTACTTGCGTGAGGTGAAGATTCTAACAGTTTTCTGGTTTCCGCTACCGTTATTTTATATTCTGTACTCGAAATTGCAAATGAACTTCTTGCTACGGTAATTAATTGAGTTGTGACCTCTGATAGTTCAGTTTTTCTTTAAGTGTTGTTTTATTTGTTTCTGAACTAGTTATTTCAAATGAATTACTTCTTACTGAACTAGCCTGAGGTTGAGGTTTTGTTAGGTCACTTTTTTTCTTCTTTAGGTATCTGATATTTTTCAGTAACAGGAATTTTGAATGAACGGGTTGCCATTTCACTTGATTGAGGTGGAGATTTCAATAGTTTTCTTGTATGATCTTGAGTAATTTTATAATTTTTTGTACTTGAAATTGCAATTGAACTAATTTTTATTGTATTTAGCTTGGGTAAAGGTTTTGATGGTTCATTTTTTTTGCTCTTGAGGTATTGGATATTTTTCAGTACTCGGAACTTTTAAGAAACTAGTTTTCATTTTACTTGATTGAGGTGGAGATTTCGGTAGTTTTCTTGTTTCTTCTTGCGTTGTTTGATACTTTTCTGTACTTAAAATTGCAATTGAACTACTTTGCATTGTCCTTGACTGTGGTGAAGGTTTTGATAGTTCCGTCTTTTCCCCTTGAAGTATTTGATATTTTTCAGTTACCGGAATTTTTAATAAACTATTTGACAGTGTACTTAATTGAGGTGAAGATTTTGATAGTTTTCTTGTTTCTTCTTGAGTTATTTTATACTTTTCTGTACCTAGAATTGTAATTGAACTACTTTTCAGTGTACTTGACTGGGGTGAAGGTTTTGATAGTTCCCTCTTCTCCTTTTTATGGAATTGATACTTTTTAGAACTCGGAATTTTTAATAGGCTGGTTGGCGTTTTACTTGATAGAGGTGGATATTTCGATAGTTTTCTTGTTTTTTCTTGGGTTGTTTGATACTTTTCTGTACGTGAAATAACAAATGAACTAATTTTCATTGTAACAGACTGAAGAAAAGGTTTTGATAGTTTGTTCTTTTTCTCTTGAGTCAACTTATATGATTCCGAACTCTGAATTTTCAGTAAGCTAGTTGAAATTGTACTTGCGTGAGGTGAAGATTCTAACAGTTTTCTGGTTTCCGCTAATTGAGGTGGGGCTTTGATAGTTCAGTTGTTTCCTTAAGTATTATTTTATTTCTTTTTGAACTCGAAACTACAAATAAATTACTTCTTATTGAACTATACTGAGATAGAGGTTTTGTTAGGTCACATTTTTCTTCTTTAGGTATCTGATATTTTTCAGTAATAGGAATTTTGAATGAACTGCTTGGTATTGTACTTGATTGAGGTGGAGATTTTAATAGTTTTCTTGTTTCTTCTTGAGGTTTTTCATATTTTTCTGTACGAGAAATTACAAATGAATTACTTTTCATTGTAACAGACTGAAGAAAAGGTTTTGATAGTTTGTTCTTTTCCTCTTGAGTGAACTGATATATTTCAGAACTTTGAATTTTTAGTAAACTAGTTGACATTGCACTTGAAGATTTCGCCAGTTTTCTAGTTTCTTCTCCCGTTATTTCGTATTCTGTACTCGAAATTGCAAATGAACTTCTTGGTACAGTAATTGATTGAGGTGGGGCCTCTGATAGTTCAGTTGTTTCCTTAAGTGTTATTTTATTTGTTTCTGAGCTAGCAATTTTAAACGAATTACTTCTTATTGAACTAGACTGAGGTTGAAGTTTTGTTAGCTTACTTTTTTCTTCTTTAGGTATCTGATATTTTTCAGTAATGGGAATTTTCATTAAACTGGTTGGCATTTCACTTGATTGAGGTGGAGATTTCAATAGTTTTCTTGTATCTTCATGAGTTAATTCATAATTTTCTGTACTTGAAATTGCAAGTGATCTAATTTTTATTGTATTTGGCTGGGGTGAAGGTTTTGATGGTTCATTTTTTTGCTCTTGGGGTATTTGATATTTTTCAGTACTCGGAACTTTTAAGAAACTAGTTTTCATTTTACTTGACTGAGGTGGAGATTTCGGTAGTTTTCTTGTTTCTTCTTGCGTTGTTTGATACTTTTCTGTGCTTAAAATTGTAATTGAACTCCTTTTCATTGTACTTGACTTGAGTGAAGGTTTTGATAATTCCCTCTTCTCCTCAATAGGGTTTTGATATTTTTTATAACTCGGAATTTTTAATAGGCTGGTTGGCATTTTACTTGATAGAGGTGGATATTTCGATAGTTTTCTTGTTTTTTCTTGGGTTGTTTGATACTTTTCTGTACGTGAAATAACAAATGAACTAATTTTCATTGTAACAGACTGAAGAAAAGGTTTTGATAGTTTGTTCTTTTTCTCTTGAGTCAACTTATATGATTCCGAACTCTGAATTTTCAGTAAGCTAGTTGAAATTGTACTTGCGTGAGGTGAAGATTCTAACAGTTTTCTGGTTTCCGCTACCGTTATTTTATATTCTGTACTCGAAATTGCAAATGAACTTCTTGCTACGGTAATTAATTGAGTTGTGACCTCTGATAGTTCAGTTTTTTCTTTAAGTGTTGTTTTATTTGTTTCTGAACTAGTTATTTCAAATGAATTACTTCTTACTGAACTAGCCTGAGGTTGAGGTTTTGTTAGGTCACTTTTTTCTTCTTTAGGTATCTGATATTTTTCAGTAACAGGAATTTTGAATGAACGGGTTGCCATTTCACTTGATTGAGGTGGAGATTTCAATAGTTTTCTTGTATGATCTTGAGTAATTTTATAATTTTCTGTACTTGAAATTGCAATTGAACTAATTTTTATTGTATTTAGCTTGGGTAAAGGTTTTGATGGTTCATTTTTTTGCTCTTGAGGTATTGGATATTTTTCAGTACTCGGAACTTTTAAGAAACTAGTTTTCATTTTACTTGATTGAGGTGGAGATTTCGGTAGTTTTCTTGTTTCTTCTTGCGTTGTTTGATACTTTTCTGTACTTAAAATTGCAATTGAACTACTTTGCATTGTCCTTGACTGTGGTGAAGGTTTTGATAGTTCCGTCTTTTCCCCTTGAAGTATTTGATATTTTTCAGTTACCGGAATTTTTAATAAACTATTTGACAGTGTACTTAATTGAGGTGAAGATTTTGATAGTTTTCTTGTTTCTTCTTGAGTTATTTTATACTTTTCTGTACCTAGAATTGTAATTGAACTACTTTTCAGTGTACTTGACTGGGGTGAAGGTTTTGATAGTTCCCTCTTCTCCTTTTTATGGAATTGATACTTTTTAGAACTCGGAATTTTTAATAGGCTGGTTGGCGTTTTACTTGATAGAGGTGGATATTTCGATAGTTTTCTTGTTTTTTCTTGGGTTGTTTGATACTTTTCTGTACGTGAAATAACAAATGAACTAATTTTCATTGTAACAGACTGAAGAAAAGGTTTTGATAGTTTGTTCTTTTTCTCTTGAGTCAACTTATATGATTCCGAACTCTGAATTTTCAGTAAGCTAGTTGAAATTGTACTTGCGTGAGGTGAAGATTCTAACAGTTTTCTGGTTTCCGCTACCGTTATTTTATATTCTGTACTCGAAATTGCAAATGAACTTCTTGCTACGGTAATTAATTGAGTTGTGACCTCTGATAGTTCAGTTTTTCTTTAAGTGTTATTTTATTTGTTTCTGAAGTAGTAATTTCAAATGAATTACTTCTTACTGAACTAGCCTGAGGTTGAGGTTTTGTTAGTTCACTTTTTTCTTCTTTAGGTATCTGATATTTTTCAGTTTCACTTGATTGAGGTGGAGATTTCAATAGTTTTCTTGTATGATCTTGAGTAATTTTATAATTTTCTGTACTTGAAATTGCAATTGAACTAATTTTTATTGTATTTGGCTGGGGTGAAGGTTTTGATGTTTCATTTTTTTGTTCTTGAGGTATTGGATATTTTTCAGTACTCGGAACTTTTAAGAAACTAGTTTTCATTTTACTTGATTGAGGTGGAGATTTCGGTAGTTTTCTTGTTTCTTCTTGCGTTGTTTTACACTTTTCTGTACTTAAAATTGCAATTGAACTACTTTTCATTGTACTTGACTGGGGTGAAGGTTTTGATAGTTCCGTCTTTTCCCATTGAAGTATTTGATATTTTTCAGTTACCGGAATTTTTAATAAACTATTTGACAGTGTACTTAATTGAGGTGAAGATTTCGATAGTTTTCTTGTTTCTTTTTGAGTTATTTTATACTTTTCTGAACTTAAAATTTTAATTGAACTACTTTTCATTGTACTTGACTGGGGTGAAGGTTTTGATAGTTCCCTATTCTCCTCTTTAGGGAATTGATATTTTTTAGAACTCGGAATTTTTAATAGGCTGGTTGGCATTTTACTTGATAGAGGTGGATATTTCGATAGTTTTCTTGTTTCTTCTTGGGTTGTTTGATACTTTTCTGTATGTGAAATAACAAATGAACTAATTTTCATTGTAATTGTAGTTTGATACTTTTCTGTACGTGAAATAACAAATGAACGAATTTTCATTGTAACAGACTGAAGAAAAGGTTTTGATAGTTTGTTCTTTTTCTCTTGAGTCAACTTATATGATTCCGAACTCTGAATTTTCAGTAAGCTAGTTGAAATTGTACTTGCGTGAGGTGAAGATTCTAACAGTTTTCTGGTTTCCGCTACCGTTATTTTATATTCTGTATTCGAAATTGCAAATGAACTTCTAGCTATTGTAATTAATTGAGGTGTGACCTCTGATAGTTCAGTTTTTTCTTTAAGTGTTGTTTTATTTGTTTCTGAAGTAGTTATTTCAAATGAATTACTTCTTACTGAACTAGCCTGAGGTTGAGGTTTTGTTAGGTCACTTTTTTCTTCTTTAGGTATCTGATATTTTTCAGTAACAGGAATTTTGAATGAACGGGTTGGCATTTCACTTGATTGAGGTGGAGATTTCAATAGTTTTCTTGTATGATCTTGAGTAATTTTATAATTTTCTGTACTTGAAATTGCAATTGAACTAATTTTTATTGTATTTAGCTTGGGTAAAGGTTTTGATGGTTCATTTTTTTGCTCTTGAGGTATTGGATATTTTTCAGTACTCGGAACTTTTAAGAAACTAGTTTTCATTTTACTTGATTGAGGTGGAGATTTCGGTAGTTTTCTTGTTTCTTCTTGCGTTGTTTGACACTTTTCTGTACTTAAAATTGCAATTGAACTACTTTGCATTGTCCTTGACTGTGGTGAAGGTTTTGATAGTTCCGTCTTTTCCCCTTGAAGTATTTGATATTTTTCAGTTACCGGAATTTTTAATAAACTATTTGACAGTGTACTTAATTGAGGTGAAGATTTTGATAGTTTTCTTGTTTCTTCTTGAGTTATTTTATACTTTTCTGTACTTAAAATTGTAATTGAACTACTTTTCATTGTTCTTGACTGGGGTGAAGGTTTTGATAGTTCCCTCTTCTCCTCTTTAGGGAATTGATATTTTTTAGAACTCGGAATTTTTAATAGGCTGGTTGGCATTTTACTTGATAGAGGTGGATATTTCGATAGTTTTCTTGTTTCTTCTTGGGTTGTTTGATACTTTTCTGTACGTGAAATAGCAAATGAACTAATTTTCATTGTAACAGACTGAAGAAAAGGTTTTGATAGTTTGTTCTTTTTCTCTTGAGTCAACTTATATGATTCCGAACTCTGAATTTTCAGTAAGCTAGTTGAAATTGTACTTGCGTGAGTTGAAGATTCTAACAGTTTTCTGGTTTCCGCTACCGTTATTTTATATTCTGTTCTCGAAATTGCAAATGAACTTCTTGCTACTGTAATTAATTGAGGTGTGATCTCTGATAGTTCAGTTTTTTCTTTAAGAGTTATTTTATTTGTTTCTGAAGTAGTTATTTCAAATGAATTACTTCTTACTGAACTAGCCTGAGGTTGAGGTTTTGTTAGGTCACTTTTTTCTTCTTTAGGTATCTGATATTTTTCAGTGACAGGAATTTTGAATGAACGGGTTGGCATTTCACTTGATTGAGGTGGAGATTTCAATAGTTTTCTTGTATCTTTATGAGTTATTTCATAATTTTCTGTAATTAAAATTTCAATTGAACTATTTTGCATTGTCCTTGACTGTGATAAAGATTTTGATAGTTCACTTTTTTCCTCTTGATGAATTTGATATTTTTCAGTACTCGGAACTTTTAATAAACTAGTTTTCATTTTACTTGATTGAGGTGGAGATTTCGGAAGTTTTCTTGTTTCTTCTTGAGGTGATTGATATTTCTCTGTACTTAAAGTTGCAATTGAACAACTTTGCATTGTCTTTGACTGAGGTGAAGGTTTTGATAGTTCCCTCTTCTCCTCTTTAGGGAATTGATATTTTTTAGAACTCGGAATTTTTAATAAACTGGTTGGCATTTTACTTGATTGAGGTGGAAATTTCGATAGTTTTCTTGTTTCTTCTTGGGTTGTTTGATACTTTTCTGTACGTGAAAAAACAAATGAACTAATTTTCATTTTAACAGACTGAAGAAAAGGTTTTGATAGTTTGTTCTTTTCCTCTTGAGTGAACTGAAATGTATCAGGACTGTGAATTTTTACTAATCTAGTTGACATTGTACTTGTGTGAGGTGAAAATTTCGCCAGTTTTCTTGTTTCCTCTCCCGTTATTTGGTATTCTGTACTCGAAATTGCATATGAACTTCTTGTTTCTGAACTAGTAATTTTAAATGAATTACTTCTTGCTGAACTAAACTGAGGTTGAAGTTTTGTAAGCTTACTTTTTTTTTCTTTAGGAATCTGATAATTTTCAGTAACAGGAATTTTGAATGAACGGGTTGGCATTTCACTTGATTGAGGTGGAGATTTCAATAGTTTTCTTGTATGATCTTGAGTTATTTCATAATTTTCTGTACTTAAAATTTCAATTGAACTATTTTGCATTGTCCTTGACTGTGGTAAAGGTTTTGATAGTTCACTCTTTTCCTCTTGATGAATTTGATATTTTTCACTACTCGGAACTTTTAATAAACTAGTTTTCAAATTACTTGAATGAGGTGGAGATTTCGGTAGTTTTCTTGTTTCTTCTTGAGTTGTTTGATATTTCTCTGTACTTAAAATTTCAATTGAACTATTTTGCATTGTCCTTGACTGTGGTAAAGGTTTTGATAGTTCACTCTTTTCCTCTTGATGAATTTGATATTTTTCAGTACTCGGAACTTTTAATAAAATAGTTTTCATTTTACTTGAATGAGGTGGAGATTTCGGTAGTTTTCTTGTTTCTTCTTGAGTTGTTTGATATTTCTCTGTACTTAAAGTTGCAACTGAACTACTTTGCATTGTCCTTGACTGAGGTGAAGGTTTTGATAGTTCCCACTTCTCCTCTTTAGGGAATTGATATTTTTTAGAACTCGGAATTTTTAATAAACCGGTTGGCATTTTACTTGATTGAGGTGGAAATTTCGATAGTTTTCTTGTTTCTTCTTGGGTTGTTTGATACTTTTCTGTACGTGAAAAAACAAATGAACTAATTTTCATTTTAACAGACTGAAGAAAAGGTTTTGATAGTTTGTTCTTTTCCTCTTGAGATAATATTTCAGAACTCTGAATTTCCAGTAAGCTATTTGACATTGTACTTCTGTGAGGTGAAGATTTTGCCAATTTTATTGTTTTCTCTACCGTTATTTTATATTCTGTACTCGTAATTGCAAATGAACTTCTTGGTACTGTAATTAATTGAGGTGGGGCTTCTGATAGTTCAGTTGTTTCCTTAAGTATTATTTTATTTCTTTCTGAACTAGAAACTACAAATAAATTACTTTTTATTGAACTATACTGAGATAGAGGTTTTGTTAGGTCACATTTTTCTTCTTTAGGTATCTGATATTTTTCAGTAATAGGAATTTTGAATGAACTGCTTGGTATTGTACTTGATTGAGGTGGAGATTTTAATAGTTTTCTTGTTTCTTCTTGAGGTTTTTCATATTTTTCTGTACGAGAAATTACAAATGAATTACTTTTTATTGTAACAGACTGAAGAAAAGGTTTTGATAGTTTGTTCTTTTCCGCTTGAGTGAACTGATATATTTCAGAACTTTGAATTTTTAGTAAACTAGTTGACATTGCACTTGAAGATTTCGCCAGTTTTCTAGTTTCTTCTCCCGTTATTTGGTATTCTGTACTCGAAATTGCAAATGAACTTCTTGGTACAGTAATTGATTGAGGTGGGGCCTCTGATAGTTCAGTTGTTTCCTTAAGTGTTATTTTATTTGTTTCTGAGCTAGCAATTTTAAACGAATTACTTCTTATTGAACTAGACTGAGGTTGAAGTTTTGTTAGCTTACTTTTTTCTGCTTTAGGTATCTGATATTTTTCAGTAATGGGAATTTTCATTAAACTGGTTGGCATTTCACTTGATTGAGGTGGAGATTTCAATAGTTTTCTTGTATCTTCATGAGTTAATTCATAATTTTCTGTACTTGAAATTGCAAGTGATCTAATTTTTATTGTATTTGGCTGGGGTGAAGGTTTTGATGGTTCATTTTTTTGCTCTTGGGGTATTTGATATTTTTCAGTACTCGGAACTTTTAAGAAACTAGTTTTCATTTTACTTGACTGAGGTGGAGATTTCGGTAGTTTTCTCGTTTCTTCTTGCGTTGTTTGATACTTTTCTGTGCTTAAAATTGTAATTGAACTACTTTTCATTGTACTTGACTTGAGTGAAGGTTTTGATAGTTCCCTCTTCTCCTCAATAGGGTTTTGATATTTTTTATAACTCGGAATTTTTAATAGGCTGGTTGGCATTTTACTTGATAGAGGTGGATATTTCGATAGTTTTCTTGTTTTTTCTTGGGTTGTTTGATACTTTTCTGTACGTGAAATAACAAATGAACTAATTTTCATTGTAACAGACTGAAGAAAAGGTTTTGATAGTTTGTTCTTTTTCTCTTGAGTCAACTTATATGATTCCGAACTCTGAATTTTCAGTAAGCTAGTTGAAATTGTACTTGCGTGAGGTGAAGATTCTAACAGTTTTCTGGTTTCCGCTACCGTTGTTTTATTTTCTGTACTCGAAGTTGCAAATGAACTTCTTGCTACTGTAATTAATTGAGGTGTGACCTCTGATAGTTCATTTTTTTCTTTAAGTGTTATTTTATTTGTTTCTGAAGTAGTAATTTCAAATGAATTACTTCTTACTGAACTAGCCTGAGGTTGAAGTTTTGTTAGCTTACTTTTTTCTTCTTTAAATATCTGATATTTTTCAGTAATGGGAATTTTCATTAAACTGGTTGGCATTTCACTTGATTGAGGTGGAGATTTCAATAGTTTTCTTGTATCTTTATGAGTTATTTCATAGTTTTCTGTACTTAAAATTGCAATTGAACTACTTTGCATTGTCCTTGACTGTGGAGAAGGTATTGATAGTTCACTCTTTTCCTTTTGAAGAATTTGATATTTTTCAGTACTCTTAAGTTTTAATAAACTGTTTGGAATTTCACTTGATTGATATTTTTCTGCACATTCTATACATGAACTACTTGATATTGTACTAGATTGGAGGGGAGATTTCGATCGTTTATTTTCCTGTTGAGATTTTTGATATTTTTCCATTCTGGAAATTGCTACTGAACTTCTTGGAATTATAATCGATTCAAATAAACTACTTCTTGTTGAACTAGACTGAGGTTGAGGTTTTGTTAGTTCCCTTTTTCTTCCTTAGGTATCTGATATTTTTCAGTAATAGGAATTTTGATTGAACTGCTTGGTATTGTACTTGATTGAGGTGGAGATTTAAATAGTTTTCTTGTTTCTTCTTGAGTCATTTCATATTTTTCTGTACTAGAAATTACAAATGAATTACTTTTCATTGTAACAGACTGAAGAAAAGGTTTTGATAGTTTGTTCTTTTCCTCTTGAGTGAACTGATATATTTCAGAACTTTGAATTTTCAGTAAACTAGTTGACATTGCACTTGAAGATTTCGCCAGTTTTCTAGTTTCTTCTCCCGTTATTTGGTATTCTGTACTCGAGATTGCAAATGAACTTCTTGCTACTGTAATAAATTCAGGTCTGGCCTCTGATAGTTCAGTTGTTTCCTTAAGTGTTATTTTATTTGTTTCTGAACTAGTAATTTTAAATGAATTACTTCTTACTGAACTAGCCTGAAGTTGAGGTTTTGTTAGTTCACTTTTTTCTTCTTTGGGTATCTGATATTTTTCAATAATGGGAATTTTCATTAAACTGGTTGGCATTTCACTTGATTGAGGTGGAGATTTCAATAGTTTTCTTGTATGATCTTGAGTTATTTTATAATTTTCTGTACTTGAAATTGCAATTGAACTAATTTTTATTGTATTTAGCTGGGGTGAAGGTTTTGATGGTTCATTTTTTTGCTCTTGGGGTATTTGATATTTTTCAGTACTCGGAACTTTTAAGAAACTAGTTTTCATTTTACTTGATTGAGGTGGAGATTTTGGTAGTTTTCTTGTTTCTTCTTGCGTTGTTTGATACTTTTCTGTACTTAAAATTGCAATTGAACTACTTTGCATTGTCCTTGACTGGGGTGAAGGTTTTGATAGTTCCGTCTTTTCCCATTGAAGTATTTGATATTTTTCAGTTACCGGAATTTTTAATAAACTATTTGACAGTGTACTTAATTGAGGTGAAGATTTCGATAGTTTTCTTGTTTCTTCTTGAGTTATTTTATACTTTTCTGTACTTAAAATTGTAATTGAACTACTTTTCATTGTACTTGACTGGGGTGAAGGTTTTGATAGTTCCCCCTTCTCCTCTTTAGGGAAGTGATATTTTTTAGAACTCGGAATTTTTAATAGGCTGGTTGGCATTTTACTTGATAGAGGTGGATATTTCGATAGTTTTCTTGTTTCTTCTTGAGTTATTTTATACTTTTCTGTACGTGAAAAAACAAATGAACTAATTTTCATTGTAACAGACTGAAGAAAAGGTTTCGATAGTTTGTTCTTTTCCTCTTGAGTGAACTGATATATTTCCGAACTCTGCATTTTCAAAAAGCTAGTTGACATTGAACTTGCATGACGTGAAGATTTTAACAGTTTTCTGGTTTCCGCTCCCGTTATTTGAGATCCTGTACTCGAAATTGCAAATGAACTTCTTGCTACTGTAATTAATTGAGGTGGGGCCCTATCAGTTCTTTCCTTAAGTGTTATTTTATTTGGTTCTGAGCTAGTAATTTTAAATGAATTACTTCTTGCTGAACTAGACTGAGGTTGAAGATTTGTTAGCTTACTTTTTTCTTCTTTAGAAATTTGATAAGTTTCAATAACAGGAATTTTGAATAAACGGGTTGGCATTACACTTGATTGAAGTGGAGATTTCAATAGTTTTCTTGTATCTTCATAAATTAATTCAGAATTTTCTGTACTTGAAATTGCAAGTGAACTAATTTTTATTGTATTTGGCTGGGGTGAAGGTTTTGATAGTTCATTTTCTTGCTCTTGAGGTATTTGATATTTTTCAGTACTCGGAACTTTCAATAAACTAGTTGTCATTTTACTTGATTGAGGTGAAAATTTCGGTTGTTTTGTTGATTCTTCTTGAGTTGTTTGATACTTTTCTGTACTTAAAATTGTAATTGAACTACTTTTCATTGTACTTGACTTGAGTGAAGGTTTTGATAGTTCCCTCTTCTCCTCAATGGGGTATTGATATTTTTTATAACTCGGAATTTTTAATAAACTGGATGGCATTTTACTTGATTGAGGTGGATATTTCGATAGTTCTCTTGTTTCTTCTTGAATTGTTTGATAATTTTCTGTACGTGAAATAACAAATGAACTAATTTTCATTGTAACAGACTGAAGAAAAGGTTTCGATAGTTTGCTCTTTTCCTCTTGAGTGAACTGATGAATTTCGGAACTCTGCATTTTCAAAAAGCTAGTTGACATTGAACTTGCATGGTGTGAAAATTTTAACAGTTTTCTGGTTTCCGCTACCGTTGTTTTATTTTCTGTACTGGAAATTGCAAATGAACTTTTTGCTACTGTAATTAATTGAGGTGGGGCCTCTGATAGTTCAGTTGTTTCCTTAAGTGTTATTTTATTTGTTTCTGAACTAGTAATTTTAAATGAATTACTTCTTGCTGAACTAGACTGAGGTTGAAGTTTTGTTAGCTTACTTTTTTCTTCTTTAGGAATCTTATAATTTTCAGTAACAGGAATTTTGAATGAACGGGTTGGCATTTCAGTTAATTGATGTGGAGATTTCAATAGTTTTCTTGTATCTTCATGAGTTAATTCATAATTTTCTGTACTTGAAATTGCAATTGAACTAATTTTTATTGTATTTGGCTGGGGTGAAGGTTTTGATGGTTCATTTTTTTGCTCTTGAGGTATTTGATATTTTTCAGTACTCGGAACTTTTAATAAACTAGTTGTCATTTTACTTGATTGAGGTGAAGATTTCGGTTGTTTTCTTGTTGCTTCTTGAGTTGTTTGATATTTTTCTGTACGTGAAATAACAAATGAACTAATTTTCATTGTAACAGACTGAAGAATAGGTTTTGATAGTTTGTTTTTTTCCTCTTGAGTAAACTGATATATTTCCGAACTCTGCATTTTCAATAAGCTAGTTGACATTGTACTTGCGTGAGGTGAAGATTTTAACAGTTTTCTGGTTTCCGCTCCCGTTATTTGAGATTCTGTGCTCGAAATTGCAAATGAACTTCTTGATACTGTAATTAATTGAGGTGGGGCCTCTGATAGTTCAGTTCTTTCCTTAAGTGTTATTTTATTTGTTTCTGAACTAGTAATTTTAAATAAATTACTTCTTACTGAATTAGACTGAGGTTGAAGTTTTGTTAGCTTACTTTTTTCTTCTTTAGGAATCTGATAATTTTCAGTAACAGGAATTTTGAATGAATGGGTTGGCATTTCAATTAATTGATGTGGAGATTTCAATAGTTTTCTTGTGATATTTTGATCTTGATCTTGAGATACGTTATAATTTTCTGTACTTGAAATTGCAATTGAACTACTTTGCATTGTCCTTGATTGTGGAGAAGGTTTTGATAATTTACTGTTTTCCTCTTGAAGAATTTGATATTTTTCAGTACTCTTAAGTTTCAATAAACTGGTTGGCATTTTACTCGATTGACATTTTTCTCCACATTCTATACGTGAACTACTTGATATTGTACTAGATTGGAGGAGAGATTTCGATCGTTTATTTTCCTGTTGAGATTTTTGATATTTTTCCATACTGGAAATTGCTACTGAACTTCTTGGAATTATAATCGATTTTATTAAACCAGGCAGACTATCTGTTCTCGAAATTTCAAATAAACTACTTCTTGTAGAACTAGACTGAGGTTGAGGTTTTGTAAGTTCTCTTTCTTCTTCCTTAGGTATCTGATATTTTTCAGTAATAGGAATTTTGATTGAACTGCTTGGCATTGTACTTGATTGAGGCGGAGATTTTAATAATTTTCTTTTTTCTTTTTGAGTCATTTCATATTTTTCTATACGAGAAATTACAAATGAATTACTTTTTATTGTAGCAGACTGAAGAATAGGTTTTGATAGTTTGTTCTTTTCCTCTTGAGTGAACTGATATATTCCGGAACTTTGAATTTTCAGTAAACTAGTTGACATTGCACTTGAAGATTTCGTCAGTTTTCTAGTTTCTTCTCCCGTTATTTGGTATTCTGTACTCGAGATTGCAAATGAACTTCTTGCTACTGTAATAAATTCAGGTCTGGCCTCTGATAGTTCAGTTGTTTCCTTAAGTGTTATTTTATTTGTTTCTGAACTAGTAATTTTAAATGAATTACTTCTTACTGAACTAGCCTGAAGTTGAGGTTTTGTTAGTTCACTTTTTTCTTCTTTGGGTATCTGATATTTTTCAATAATGGGAATTTTCATTAAACTGGTTGGCATTTCACTTGATTGAGGTGGAGATTTCAATAGTTTTCTTGTATGATCCTGAGATATTTTATAATTTTCTGTACTTGAAATTGCAATTGAACTAATTTTTACTGTATTTGGCTGGGGTGAAGGTTTTGATGTTTCATTTTTTTGCTCTTGAGGTATTTGATTTTTTTCAGTACTCGGAACTTTTAATAAACTAGTTGTCATTTTACTTGATTGAGGTGAAGATTTCGGTTGTTTTCTTGTTTCTTCCTGAGTTGTTTGATTCTTTTCTGTACTTAAAATTGTAATTGAACTACTTTTCATTATACTTGACTGGGGTGAATGTTTTGATAGTTCTCTCTTCTCCTCAATAGGGAATTGATATTTTTTATAACTCGAAATTTTTAATAAACTGGGTGGCATTTTACTTGATTGAAATGGATATTTCGATAGTTTTCTTGTTTCTTCTTGAGTTGTTTGATATTTTTCTGTACGTGAAATAACAATTGAACTAATTTTCATTGTAACAGACTGAAGAATAGGTTTTGATAGTTTGTTCTTTTCCTCTTGAGTGAACTGATATATTTCCGAACTCTGCATTTTCAATAAGCTAGTTGACATTGTACTTGCGTGAGGTGAAGATTTTAACAGTTTTCTGGTTTCCGCTCCCGTTATTTGAGATTCTGTGCTCGAAATTGCAAATGAACTTCTTGCTACTGTAATTAATTGAGATGGGGCCTCTGATAGTTCAATTGTTTCCTTAAGTGTTATTTTATTTGTTTCTGAACTAGTAATTTTAAATGAATTACTTCTTACTGAACTAGACTGAGGTTGAGGTTTGGTAATACCAGGTATCTGATATTTTTCAGTAATGGGAATTTTAATTAAACTGGTTGGCATTTCACTTGATTGAGGTGGAGATTTCAATAGTTTTCTGGTTTCTTCTTGAGGTCTTTTATACTTTTCTGTACTTAAAATTGTAATTGAACTACTTTTCATTATACTTGACTGGGGTGAATGTTTTGATATTTCTCTCTTCTCCTCAATAGGGAATTGATATTTTTTATAACTCGAAATTTTTAATAAACTGGGTGGCATTTTACTTGATTGAAATGGATATTTCGATAGTTTTCTTGTTTCTTCTTGAGTTGTTTGATATTTTTCTGTACGTGAAATAACAATTGAACTAATTTTCATTGTAACAGACTGAAGAATAGGTTTTGATAGTTTGTTCTTTTCCTCTTGAGTAAACTGATATATTTCCGAACTCTGCATTTTCAATAAGCTAGTTGACATTGTACTTGCGTGAGGTGAAGATTTTAACAGTTTTCTGGTTTCCGCTCCCGTTATTTGAGATTCTGTGCTCGAAATTGCAAATGAACTTCTTGTTTTTGTAATTGATTGAGGTGGGGCCTCTGATAGTTCAGTTGTTTCCTTAAGTGTTATTTTATTTGTTTCTGAACTAGTAATTTTAAATGAATTACTTCTTATTGAACTAGACTGAGGTTGAAGTTTTGTTAGCTTACTTTTTTCTTCTTTAAATATCTGATATTTTTCAGTAATGGGAATTTTCATTAAACTGGTTGGCATTTCACTTGATTGAGGTGGAGATTTCAATAGTTTTCTTGTATCTTTATGAGTTATTTCATAGTTTTCTGTACTTAAAATTGCAATTGAACTACTTTGCATTGTCCTTGACTGTGGAGAAGGTATTGATAGTTCACTCTTTTCCTTTTGAAGAATTTGATATTTTTCAGTACTCTTAAGTTTTAATAAACTGTTTGGAATTTCACTTGATTGATATTTTTCTGCACATTCTATACATGAACTACTTGATATTGTACTAGATTGGAGGGGAGATTTCGATCGTTTATTTTCCTGTTGAGATTTTTGATATTTTTCCATTCTGGAAATTGCTACTGAACTTCTTGGAATTATAATCGATTCAAATAAACTACTTCTTGTTGAACTAGACTGAGGTTGAGGTTTTGTTAGTTCCCTTTTTTCTTCCTTAGGTATCTGATATTTTTCAGTAATAGGAATTTTGATTGAACTGCTTGGTATTGTACTTGATTGAGGTGGAGATTTAAATAGTTTTCTTGTTTCTTCTTGAGTCATTTCATATTTTTCTGTACTAGAAATTACAAATGAATTACTTTTCATTGTAACAGACTGAAGAAAAGGTTTTGATAGTTTGTTCTTTTCCTCTTGAGTGAACTGATATATTTCAGAACTTTGAATTTTCAGTAAACTAGTTGACATTGCACTTGAAGATTTCGCCAGTTTTCTAGTTTCTTCTCCCGTTATTTGGTATTCTGTACTCGAAATTGCAAATGAACTTCTTGGTACAGTAATTGATTGAGGTGGGGCCTCTGATAGTTCAGTTGTTTCCTTAAGTGTTATTTTATTTGTTTCTGAGCTAGTAATTTTAAATGAATTACTTCTTATTGAACTAGACTGAGGTTGAAGTTTTGTTAGCTTACTTTTTTCTTCTTTAGGTATCTGATATTTTTCAGTAATGGGAATTTTCATTAAACTGGTTGGCATTTCACTTGATTGAGGTGGAGATTTCAATAGTTTTCTTGTATCTTCATGAGTTAATTCATAATTTTCTGTACTTGAAATTGCAATTAAACTAATTTGTATTGTATTTGGCTGGGGTGAAGGTTTTGATGGTTCATTTTTTTGCTCTTGAGGTATTTGATATTTTTCAGTACTCGGAACTTTTAATAAACTAGCTGTCATTTTACTTGATTGAGGTGAAGATTTCGGTTGTTTTGTTGATTCTTCTTGAGTTGTTTGATACTTTTCTGTACTTAAAATTGTAATTGAACTACTTTTCATTGCACTTGACTTGGGTGAAGGTTTTGATAGTTCCCTCTTCTCCTCAATAGGGTATTGATATTTTTTACAACTCGAAATTTGTAATAAACTGGATGGAATTTCACTTGATTGAGGTGGATATTTCGATAGTTTTCTTGTTTCTTCTTGAGTTGTTTGATACTTCTCTGTACTTAAAATTGCAATTGAACTACTTTGCAATGTCCTTGACTGTGGTGAAGGTTTTGATAGTTCCGTCTCTTCCCCTTGAAGTATTTGATATTTTTCAGTTCTCGGAAATTTTAATAAACCAGTTGACAGAGTACTTAACTGAGGTGGTGTTTCTTCTTGAGTTGTTCGATACTTTTCTGTGCGTGAAATAACAAATGAACTAATTTTCATTGTAACAGACTGAAGAAAAGGTTTTGATAGTTTGTTCTTTTCCTCTTGAGTGAACTGATATATTTCCGAACTCTGCATTTTCAAAAAGCTAGTTGACATTGAACTTGCATGGGGTGAAAATTTTAACAGTTTTCTGGTTTCCGTTCCCGTTATTTGAGATCCTGTACTCGAGATTGCAAGTGAACTTCTTGCTACTGTAATTAATTGAGGTGGGGCCTCTGATAGTTCAGTTGTTTCCTCAAGTGTTATTTTTTTTGTTTCTGAACTAGTAATTTTAAATGAATTACTTCTTACTGAACTAGACTGAGGTTGAAGTTTTGTTAGCTTACTTTTTTCTTCTTTAGGAATCTGATGATGTTCAGTTACAGAAATTTTGACTGAACGGGTTGGCATTTCACTTGATTGAGGTGGAGATTTCAGTAGTTTTCTTGTATCTTTATGAGTTATTTCATAATTTTCTGTAATTAAAATTTCAATTGAACTACTTTGCATTGTCCTTGACTGTGGTAAAGGTTTTGATAGGTCACTCTTATCCTCTTGATGAATTTGATATTTTTCAGTACTCTTAAGTTTCAATAAACTGGTTGGAATTTCACTTGATTGATATCTTTCTGCACATTCTATACATGAACTACTTGATATTGTACTAGATTGGAGGGGGGATTTCGATCTTTTTTTTTCCTGCTGAGATTTTTGATATTTTTCTGTACTGGAAATTGCCACTGAACTTCTTGGAATTATAATCGATTTTATTAAACCAGGCATACTATCTGTTCTCGAAATTTCAAATAAACTACTTCTTATTGAACTAGACTGAGGTTGAGGTTTTGTTAGTTCCCTTTTTTCTTCCTTAGGTATCTGATATTTTTCAGTAATAGGAATTTTGATTGAACTGCTTGGTATTGTACTTGATTGAGGTGGAGATTTAAATAGTTTTCTTGTTTCTTCTTGAGTCATTTCATATTTTTCTGTATGAGAAATTTCTTGAGTGAACTGATATATTTCAGAACTTTGAATTTTCAGTAAACTAGTTGACATTGTACTTGAAGATTTCGCCAGTTTTCTAGTTACTTCTCCCGTTATTTGGTATTCTGTACTCGAAATTGCAAATGAGCTTCTTGGTACAGTAATTGATTGAGGTGGGGCCTCTGATAGTTCAGTTGTTTCCTTAAGTGTTATTTTATTTGTTTCTGAGCTAGTAATTTTAAATGTATTACTTCTTGTTGAACTAGACTGAGGTTGAAGTTTTGTTAGCTTACTTTTTTCTTCTTTAGGTATCTGATATTTTTCAGTAATGGGAATTTTCATTAAACTGGTTGGCATTTCACTTGATTGAGGTGGAGATTTCAATAGTTTTCTTGTATCTTCATGAGTTAATTCATAATTTTCTGTACTTGAAATTGCAATTGAACTAATTTGTATTGTATTTGGCTGGGGTGAAGGTTTTGATGGCTCATTTTTTTGCTCTTGGGGTATTTGATATTTTTCAGTACTCGGAACTTTTAATAAACTAGTTGTCATTTTACTTGATTGAGGTGAAGATTTCGGTTGTTTTGTTGATTCTTCTTGAGTTGTTTGATACTTTTCTGTACTTAAAATTGTAATTGAACTACTTTTCATTGTACTTGACTTGGGTGAAGGTTTTGATAGTTCCCTCTTCTTCTCAATAGGGTATTGATATTTTTTATAACTCGAAATTTGTAATAAACTGGATGGAATTTCACTTGATTGAGGTGGATATTTCGATAGTTTTCTTGTTTCTTCTTGAGTTGTTTGATACTTCTCTGTACTTAAAATTGCAATTGAACTACTTTGCACTGTCCTTGACTGTGGTGAAGGTTTTGATTGTTCCGTCTCTTCCCCTTGAAGTATTTGATATTTTTTAGTTCTCGGAATTTTTAATAAACCAGTTGACAGAGTACTTAACTGAGGTGGAGATTTCGATAGTTTTCTTGTTTCTTCTTTAGTTGTTCGATACTTTTCTGTACGTGAAATATAAAATGAACTAATTTTCATTGTAACAGACTGAAGAAAAGGTTTTGATAGTTTGTTCTTTTCCTCTTGAGTGAACTGATATATTTCCGAACTCTGCATTTTCAAAAAGCTAGTTGACATTGAACTTGCATGGGGTGAAGATTTTAACAGTTTTCTGGTTTCCGTTCCCGTTATTTGAGATCCTGTACTCGAGATTGCAAATGAACTTCTTGCTACTGTAATTAATTGAGGTGGGGCCTCTGATAGTTCAGTTCTTTCCTTAAGTGTTATTTTATTTGTTTCTGAACTAGTAATTTTAAATGAAATACTTCTTGCTGAACTAGACTGAGGTTGAAGTTTTGTTAGCTTGCTTTTTTTTTCTTTAGGTATCTGATAATTTTCAGTAACAGGAATTTTGAATAAACGGGTTGGCATTTCACTTGATTGAGGTGGAGATTTCAATAGTTTTCTTGTATCTTCATGAGTTAATTCATAATTTTCTGTACTTGAAATTGCAATTGAACTAATTTTTATTGTATTTGGCTGGGGTGAAGGTTTTGATGGTTCATTTTTTTGCTCTTGAGGTATTTGATATTTTTCAGTACTCGGAACTTTTAATAAACTAGTTGTCATTTTACTTGATTGAGGTGAAGATTTCGGTTGTTTTGTTGATTCTTCTTGAGTTGTTTGATACTTTTCTGTACTTAAAATTGTAATTGAACTACTTTTCATTGTACTTGACTTGGGTGAAGGTTTTGATAGTTCCCTCTTCTCCTCAATAGGGTATTGATATTTTTTATAACTCGAAATTTGTAATAAACTGGATGGAATTTCACTTGATTGAGGTGGATATTTCGATACTTTTCTTGTTTCTTCTTGAGTTGTTTGATACTTCTCTGTACTTAAAATTGCAATTGAACCACTTTGCACTGTCCTTGACTGTGGTGAAGGTTTTGATAGTTCCGTCTCTTCCCCTTGAAGTATTTGATATTTTTTAGTTCTCGGAATTTTTAATAAACCAGTTGACAGAGTACTTAACTGAGGTGGAGATTTCGATAGTTTTCTTGTTTCTTCTTGAGTTGTTCGATACTTTTCTGTACGTGAAATATAAAATGAACTAATTTTCATTGTAACAGACTGAAGAAAAGGTTTTGATAGTTTGCTCTTTTCCTCTTGAGTGAACTGATATATTTCCGAACTCTGCATTTTCAAAAAGCTAGTTGACATTGAACTTGCATGGGGTGAAAATTTTAACAGTTTTCTGGTTTCCGTTCCCGTTATTTGAGATCCTGTACTCGAGATTGCAAGTGAACTTCTTGCTACTGTAATTAATTGAGGTGGGGCCTCTGATAGTTCAGTTCTTTCCTTAAGTGTTATTTTATTTGTTTCTGAACTAGTAATTTTAAATGAAATACTTCTTGCTGAACTAGACTGAGGTTGAAGATTTGTTAGCTTACTTTTTTCTTCTTTAGAAATCTGATAAGTTTCAGTAACAGGAATTTTGAATGAATGGGTTGGCATTTCACTTGATTGAGGTGGAGATATCAATAGTTTTCTTGTATGATCTTGAGTCATTTCATAATTTTTTGAACTTAAAATTTTAATTGAACTATTTTGCATTGTCCTTGACTGTGGTAAAGGTTTTGAAAGTTCTCTCTTTTCCTCTTGATGAATTTGATATTTTTCAGTACTCTTAAGTTTCAATAAACTGGTTGGAGTTTCACTTGATTGATATTTTTCTGCACATTCTATACATGAACTACTTGATATTGTACTAGATTGGAGGGGGGATTTCGATAGTTTTTTTTCCTGCTGAGATTTTTGATATATTTCTGTACTGAATATTGCCACTGAACTTCTTGGAATTATAATCGATTTTATTAAACCAGGCAGACTATCTGTTCTCGAAATTTCAAATAAACTACTTCTTGTTGAACTAGACTGAGGTTGAGGTTTTGTTAGTTCCCTTATTTCTTCCTTATGTATCTGATATTGTTCAGTAATAGGAATTTTTATTGAACTGCTTGGTATTTTACATGATTGAGGTGGAGATTTAAATAGTTTTCTTGTTTCTTCTTGAGTCATTTCATATTTTTCTGTAAGAGAAATTACAAATGAATTACTTTTCATTGTAACAGACTGAAGAAAAGGTTTTGATAGTTTGTTCTTTTCCTCTTGAGTGAACTGATATATTTCCGAACTCTGCATTTTCAAAAAGCTAGTTGACATTGAACTTGCATGGGGTGAAGATTTTAACAGTTTTCTGGTTTCCGTTCCCGTTATTTGAGATCCTGTACTCGAGATTGCAAATGAACTTCTTGCTACTGTAATTAATTGAGGTGGGGCCTCTGATAGTTCAGTTCTTTCCTTAAGTGTTATTTTATTTGTTTCTGAACTAGTAATTTTAAATGAAATACTTCTTGCTGAACTAGACTGAGGTTGAAGATTTGTTAGCTTACTTTTTTCTTCTTTAGAAATCTGATAAGTTTCAGTAACAGGAATTTTGAATGAATGGGTTGGCATTTCACTTGATTGAGGTGGAGATTTCAATAGTTTTCTTGTATGATCTTGAGTCATTTCATAATTTTCTGTACTTAAATTTTTAATTGAACTATTTTGCATTGTCCTTGACTGTGGTAAAGGTTTTGAAAGTTCTCTCTTTTCCTCTTGATGAATTTGATATTTTTCAGTACTCTTAAGTTTCAATAAACTGTTTGGAATTTCACTTGATTGATATTTTTCTGCACATTCTATACATGAACTACTTGATATTGTACTACATTGGAGGGGGGATTTCGATAGTTTTTTTTCCTGCTGAGATTTTTGATATATTTCTGTACTGGAAATTGCCACTGAACTTCTTGGAAATATAATCGATTTTATTAAACCAGGCAGACTATCTGTTCTAGAAATTTCAAATAAACTACTTCCTATTGAACTAGACTGAGGTTGAGGTTTTATTAGTTCCCTTTTTTCTTCCTTATGTATCTGATATTTTTCAGTAATAGGAATTTTGATTGAACTGCTTGGTATTGTACATGATTGAGGTGGAGATTTTAATAGTTTTCTTGTTTCTTCTTGAGTCATTTCATATTTTTCTGTATGAGAAATTTCTTGAGTGAACTGATATATTTCAGAACTTTGAATTTTTAGTAAACTAGTTGACATTATACTTGTGTGAGGTGAAAATTTCGCCAGTTTTCTTGTTTCCTCTCCCGTTGTTTGGTATTCTGTACTTGAAATTGCAAATGAACTTCTTGGTGCAGTAATTGATTGAGGTGGGGCCTCTGATAGTTCAGTTGTTTCCTTAAGTGTTATTTTATTTGTTTCTGAGCTAGTAATTTTAAATGTATTACTTCTTATTGAACTAGACTGAGGTTGAAGTTTTGTTAGCTTACTTTTTTCTTCTTTAGGTATCTGATATTTTTCAGTAATGGGAATATTAATTAAACTGGTTGGCATTTTACTTGATTGAGGTGGATATTTCGATAGTTTTCTTGTTTCTTCTTGAGTTGTTTGGTACTTTTCTGTACGTGAAATATAAAATGAACTAATTTTCATTGTAACAGACTGAAGAAAAGGTTTTGATAGTTTGTTCTTTTCCTCTTGAGTGAACTGATATATTTCCGAACTCTGCATTTTCAAAAAGCTAGTTGACATTGAACTTGCATGGGGTGAAGATTTTAACAGTTTTCTGGTTTCCGTTCCCGTTATTTGAGATCCTGTACTCGAGATTGCAAATGAACTTCTTGCTAGTGTAATTAATTGAGGTGGGGCCTCTGATAGTTCAGTTCTTTCCTTAAGTGTTATTTTATTTGTTTCTGAACTAGTAATTTTAAATGAAATACTTCTTGCTGAACTAGACTGAGGTTGAAGATTTGTTAGCTTACTTTTTTCTTCTTTAGAAATCTGATAAGTTTCAGTAACAGGAATTTTGAATGAATGGGTTGGCATTTCACTTGATTGAGGTGGAGATATCAATAGTTTTCTTGTATGATCTTGAGTCATTTCATAATATTTTGAACTTAAAATTTTAATTGAACTATTTTGCATTGTCCTTGACTGTGGTAAAGGTTTTGAAAGTTCTCTCTTTTCCTCTTGATGAATTTGATATTTTTCAGTACTCTTAAGTTTCAATAAACTGGTTGGAATTTCACTTGATTGATATTTTTCTGCACATTCTATACATGAACTACTTGATATTGTACTAGATTGGAGGGGGGATTTCGATAGTTTTTTTTCCTGTTGAGATTTTTGATATTTTTCCATACTGGAAATTGATACTGAACTTCTTGGAATTATAATCGATTTTATTAAACCAGGCAGACTATCTGTTCTCGAAATTTCAAATAAACTACTTCTTGTTGAACTAGACTGAGGTTGAGGTTTTGTTAGTTCCCTTTCTTCTTCCTTAGGTATCTGATATTTTTCAGTAATAGGAATTTTGATTGAACTGCTTGGTATTGTACTTGATTGAGTTGGAGATTTTAATAGTTTTCTTGTTCCTTCTTGAGTCATTTCATATTTTTCTGTATGAGAAATTTCTTGAGTGAACTGATATATTTCAGAACTTTGAATTTTTAGTAAACTAGTTGACATTATACTTGTGTGAGGTGAAAATTTCGCCAGTTTTCTTGTTTCCTCTCCCGTTGTTTGGTATTCTGTACTTGAAATTGCAAATGAACTTCTTGGTGCAGTAATTGATTGAGGTGGGGCCTCTGATAGTTCAGTTGTTTCCTTAAGTGTTATTTTATTTGTTTCTGAGCTAGTAATTTTAAATGTATTACTTCTTATTGAACTAGACTGAGGTTGAAGTTTTGTTAGCTTACTTTTTTCTTCTTTAGGTATCTGATATTTTTCAGTAATGGGAATATTAATTAAACTGGTTGGCATTTTACTTGATTGAGGTGGATATTTCGATAGTTTTCTTGTTTCTTCTTGAGTTGTTTGGTACTTTTCTGTACGTGAAATATAAAATGAACTAATTTTCATTGTAACAGACTGAAGAAAAGGTTTTGATAGTTTTTTCTTTTCCTCTTGAATGAACTGATATATTTCCGAACTCTGCATTTTCAATAAGCTAGTTGACATTGTACTTGCGTGAGGTGAAGATTTTAGCAGTTTTCTGGTTTCCGCTACCGTTATTTTATATTCTGTACTCGAAATTGCAAATGAACTTCTTGCTACTGTAATTAATTGAGGTGGGACCTCTGATAGTTCAGTTGTTTCCTTAAGTGTTATTTTATTTGTTTCTGAGCTAGTAATTTTAAATGAATTACTTCTTACTGAACTAGCCTGAGGTTGAGGTTTTGTTAGTTCACTTTTTTCTTCTTTGGGTATCTGAAATTTTTCAGTAATGGGAATTTTCATTAAACTGGTTGGCATTTCACTTGATTGAGGTGGAGATTTCAATAGTTTTCTTGTATCTTCATGAGTTAATTCATAATTTTCTGTACTTGAAATTGCAATTGAACTAACTTTTATTGTATTTGGCTGGGGTGAAGGTTTTGATGGTTCATTTTTTTGCTCTTGAGGTTTTTGATATTTTTCAGTACTCGGAACTTTTAATAAACTAGTTGTCATTATACTTGATTGAGGTGAAGATTTCGGTTGTTTTGTTGATTCTTCTTGAGTTGTTTGATTCTTTTCTGTACATGAAATAACAAATGAACTAATTTTCATTGTAACAGACTGAAGAATAGGTTTTGATAGTTTGTTCTTTTCCTCTTGAGTGAACAGATATATTTCCGAACTCTGCATTTGCAATAAGCTAGTTGACATTGTTCTTGCGTGAGGTGAAGATTTTAACAGTTTTCTGGATTCCGCTCCCGTTATTTGAGATTCTGTACTCGAAATTGCAAATGAACTTCTTGTTTTTGTAATTGATTGAGGTGGGGCCTCTGATAGTTTAGTTGTTTCCTTAAGTGTCATTTTATTTGTTTCTGAACTAGTAATTTTAAATGAATTACTTCTTATTGAACTCGACTGCGGTTGAAGGTTTGTTAGCTTACTTATTTCTTCTTTAGGTATCTGATAATTTTCAGTAACAGGACTTTTGAATAAACGGGTTGGTATTTCACTTGATTGAGGTGGAGATTTCAATAGTTTTCTTGTATCTTTATGAGCTATTTCATTATTTTCTCCACATTCTATACATGAACTACTTGATATTGTACTAGATTGGAGGGGAGATTTCGATCGTTTTTTTTCCTGTTGAGATTTTTGATATTTTTCCGTACTGGATATTGCTACTGAACTTCTTGGAATTATAATCGATTTTATTAAACCAGGCAGACTATCTGTTCTCGAAATTTCAAATAAACTACTTCTTATTGAACTAGACTGAGGTTGAGGTTTTGTTAGTTCCCTTTTTTCTTCCTTAGGTATCTGATATTTTTCAGTAATAGGAATTTTGATTGAACTGCTTGGTATTGTACTTGATTGAGGTGGAAATTTTAATAGTTTTCTTGTTTCTTCTTGAGTCATTTCATATTTTTCTGTACGTGAAATAACAAATGAACTAATTTTCATTGTAACAGACTGAAGAAAAGGTTTCGATAGTTTGTTCTTTTCCTCTTGAGTGAACTGATATATTCCGGAACTTTGAATTTTCAGTAAACTAGTTGACATTGCACTTGAAGATTTCGCCAGTTTTCTAGTTTCTTCTCCCGTTCTTTGGTATTCTGTACTCGAAATTGCAAATGAACTTCTTGGTACAGTAATTGATTGAGGTGGGGCCTCTGATAGTTCAGTTGTTTCCTTAAGTGTTATTTTATTTGTTTCTGAACTAGTAATTTTAAATGAATTACTTCTTATTGAACTAGACTGAGGTTGAAGTTTTGTTAGCTTGCTTTTTTTTTCTTTAGGTATCTGATAATTTTCAGTAACAGGAATTTTGAATAAACGGGTTGGCATTTCACTTGATTGAGGTGGAGATTTCAATAGTTTTCTTGTATCTTCATGAGTTAATTCATAATTTTCTGTACTTGAAATTGCAATTGAACTAATTTGTATTGTATTTGGATGGGGTGAAGGTTTTGATGGTTCATTTTTTTGCTCTTGAGGTATTTGATATTTTTCAGTACTCGGAACTTTTAATAAACTAGTTGTCATTTTACTTGATTGAGGTGATTCTTCTTGAGTTGTTTGATACTTTTCTGTACTTAAAATTGTAATTGAACTACTTTTCATTGTACTTGACTTGGGTGAAGGTTTTGATAGTTCCATCTCTTCCCCTTGAAGTATTTGATATTTTTCAGTTCTCGGAATTTTTAATAAACCAGTTGACAGTGTACTTAATTGAGGTGGAGATTTCGATAGTTTTCTTGTTTGTTCTTGAGTTGTTCGATACTTTTCTGTACGTGAAATAACGAATGAACTAATTTTCATTGTAACAGACTGAAGAAAAAGTTTTGATAGTTTGTTCTTTTCCTCTTGAGTGAACTGATATATTTCCGAACTCTGCATTTTCAAAAAGCTAGTTGATATTGAACTTGCATGGGGTGAAAATTTTAACAGTTTTCTGGTTTCCGCTCCCGTTATTTGAGATCCTGTACTCGAGATTGCAAATGAACTTCTTGCTACTGTAATTAATTTTGGTGGGGCCTCTAATAGTTCAGTTCTTTCCTTAAGTGTTATTTTATTTGTTTCTGAACTAGTAATTTTAAATGAAATACTTCTTGGTGAACTAGACTGAGGTTGAAGTTTTGTTAGCTTACTTTTTTCTTCTTTAGAAATCTGATAAGTTTCAGTAACAGGAATTTTGAATGAATGGGTTGGCATTTCACTTGATTGAGGTGGAGATTTCAATAGTTTTTTTGTATGATCTTGAGTCATTTCATAATTGTCTGTACTTAAAATTTTAATTGAACTATTTTGCATTGTCCTTGACTGTGGTAAAGGTTTTAAAAGTTCACTCTTTTCCTCTTGATGAATTTGATATTTTTCAGTACTCTTAAGTTTCAATAAACTAGTTGGAATTTCACTAAATTGATATTTTTCTGCACATTCTATACATGAACCACTTGATATTGTACTAGATTGGAGGGGGGATTTCGATCGTTTTTTTTCCTGTTGAGATTTTTGATATTTTTCCATACTGGAAATTGATACTGAACTTCTTGGAATTATAATCGATTTTATTAAACCAGGCAGACTATCTGTTCTCGAAATTTCAAATAAACTACTTCTTGTTGAACTAGACTGAGCTTGAGGTTTTGTTAGTTCCCTTTCTTCTTCCTTAGGTATCTGATATTTTTCAGTAATAGGAATTTTGATTGAACTGCTTGGTATTGTACTTGATTGAGTTGGAGATTTTAATAGTTTTCTTGTTCCTTCTTGAGTCATTTCATATTTTTCTGTATGAGAAATTTCTTGAGTGAACTGATATATTTCAGAACTTTGAATTTTTAGTAAACTAGTTGACATTATACTTGTGTGAGGTGAAAATTTCGCCAGTTTTCTTGTTTCCTCTCCCGTTGTTTGGTATTCTGTACTTGAAATTGCAAATGAACTTCTTGGTGCAGTAATTGATTGAGGTGGGGCCTCTGATAGTTCAGTTGTTTCCTTAAGTGTTATTTTATTTGTTTCTGAGCTAGTAATTTTAAATGTATTACTTCTTATTGAACTAGACTGAGGTTGAAGTTTTGTTAGCTTACTTTTTTCTTCTTTAGGTATCTGATATTTTTCAGTAATGGGAATTTTAATTAAACTGGTTGGCATTTTACTTGATTGAGGTGGATATTTCGATAGTTTTCTTGTTTCTTCTTGAGTTGTTTGGTACTTTTCTGTACGTGAAATATAAAATGAACTAATTTTCATTGTAACAGACTGAAGAAAAGGTTTTGATAGTTTTTTCTTTTCCTCTTGAATGAACTGATATATTTCCGAACTCTGCATTTTCAATAAGCTAGTTGACATTGTACTTGCGTGAGGTGAAGATTTTAGCAGTTTTCTGGTTTCCGCTACCGTTATTTTATATTCTGTACTCGAAATTGCAAATGAACTTCTTGCTACTGTAATTAATTGAGGTGGGACCTCTGATAGTTCAGTTGTTTCCTTAAGTGTTATTTTATTTGTTTCTGAGCTAGTAATTTTAAATGAATTACTTCTTACTGAACTAGCCTGAGGTTGAGGTTTTGTTAGTTCACTTTTTTCTTCTTTGGGTATCTGAAATTTTTCAGTAATGGGAATTTTCATTAAACTGGTTGGCATTTCACTTGATTGAGGTGGAGATTTCAATAGTTTTCTTGTATCTTCATGAGTTAATTCATAATTTTCTGTACTTGAAATTGCAATTGAACTAACTTTTATTGTATTTGGCTGGGGTGAAGGTTTTGATGGTTCATTTTTTTGCTCTTGAGGTTTTTGATATTTTTCAGTACTCGGAACTTTTAATAAACTAGTTGTCATTATACTTGATTGAGGTGAAGATTTCGGTTGTTTTGTTGATTCTTCTTGAGTTGTTTGATTCTTTTTTGTACATGAAATAACAAATGAACTAATTTTCATTGTAACAGACTGAAGAATAGGTTTTGATAGTTTGTTCTTTTCCTCTTGAGTGAACAGATATATTTCCGAACTCTGCATTTGCAATAAGCTAGTTGACATTGTTCTTGCGTGAGGTGAAGATTTTAACAGTTTTCTGGATTCCGCTCCCGTTATTTGAGATTCTGTACTCGAAATTGCAAATGAACTTCTTGTTTTTGTAATTGATTGAGGTGGGGCCTCTGATAGTTTAGTTGTTTCCTTAAGTGTCATTTTATTTGTTTCTGAACTAGTAATTTTAAATGAATTACTTCTTATTGAACTCGACTGCGGTTGAAGGTTTGTTAGCTTACTTTTTTCTTCTTTAGGTATCTGATAATTTTCAGTAACAGGACTTTTGAATAAACGGGTTGGTATTTCACTTGATTGAGGTGGAGATTTCAATAGTTTTCTTGTAACTTTATGAGCTATTTCATTATTTTCTCCACATTCTATACATGAACTACTTGATATTGTACTAGATTGGAGGGGAGATTTCGATCGTTTTTTTCCTGTTGAGATTTTTGATATTTTTCCGTACTGGATATTGCTACTGAACTTCTTGGAATTATAATCGATTTTATTAAACCAGGCAGACTATCTGTTCTCGAAATTTCAAATAAACTACTTCTTATTGAACTAGACTGAGGTTGAGGTTTTGTTAGTTCCCTTTTTTCTTCCTTAGGTATCTGATATTTTTCAGTAATAGGAATTTTGATTGAACTGCTTGGTATTGTACTTGATTGAGGTGGAAATTTTAATAGTTTTCTTGTTTCTTCTTGAGTCATTTCATATTTTTCTGTACGTGAAATAACAAATGAACTAATTTTCATTGTAACAGACTGAAGAAAAGGTTTTGATAGTTTGTTCTTTTCCTCTTGAGTGAACTGATATATTCCGGAACTTTGAATTTTCAGTAAACTAGTTGACATTGCACTTGAAGATTTCGCCAGTTTTCTAGTTTCTTCTCCCGTTATTTGGTATTCTGTACTCGAAATTGCAAATGAACTTCTTGGTACAGTAATTGATTGAGGTGGGGCCTCTGATAGTTCAGTTGTTTCCTTAAGTGTTATTTTATTTGTTTCTGAACTAGTAATTTTAAATGAATTACTTCTTATTGAACTAGACTGAGGTTGAAGTTTTGTTAGCTTGCTTTTTTTTTCTTTAGGTATCTGATAATTTTCAGTAACAGGACTTTTGAATAAACGGGTTGGTATTTCACTTGATTGAGGTGGAGATTTCAATAGTTTTCTTGTATGATCTTGAGTCATTTCATAATTGTCTGTACTTAAAATTTTAATTGAACTATTTTGCATTGTCCTTGACTGTGGTAAAGGTTTTAAAAGTTCACTCTTTTCCTCTTGATGAATTTGATATTTTTCAGTACTCTTAAGTTTCAATAAACTAGTTGGAATTTCACTAAATTGATATTTTTCTGCACATTCTATACATGAACCACTTGATATTGTACTAGATTGGAGGGGGGATTTCGATCGTTTTTTTTCCTGTTGAGATTTTTGATATTTTTCCATACTGGAAATTGATACTGAACTTCTTGGAATTATAATCGATTTTATTAAACCAGGCAGACTATCTGTTCTCGAAATTTCAAATAAACTACTTCTTGTTGAACTAGACTGAGCTTGAGGTTTTGTTAGTTCCCTTTCTTCTTCCTTAGGTATCTGATATTTTTCAGTAATAGGAATTTTGATTGAACTGCTTGGTATTGTACTTGATTGAGTTGGAGATTTTAATAGTTTTCTTGTTCCTTCTTGAGTCATTTCATATTTTTCTGTATGAGAAATTTCTTGAGTGAACTGATATATTTCAGAACTTTGAATTTTTAGTAAACTAGTTGACATTATACTTGTGTGAGGTGAAAATTTCGCCAGTTTTCTTGTTTCCTCTCCCGTTGTTTGGTATTCTGTACTTGAAATTGCAAATGAACTTCTTGGTGCAGTAATTGATTGAGGTGGGGCCTCTGATAGTTCAGTTGTTTCCTTAAGTGTTATTTTATTTGTTTCTGAGCTAGTAATTTTAAATGTATTACTTCTTATTGAACTAGACTGAGGTTGAAGTTTTGTTAGCTTACTTTTTTCTTCTTTAGGTATCTGATATTTTTCAGTAATGGGAATTTTAATTAAACTGGTTGGCATTTTACTTGATTGAGGTGGATATTTCGATAGTTTTCTTGTTTCTTCTTGAGTTGTTTGGTACTTTTCTGTACGTGAAATATAAAATGAACTAATTTTCATTGTAACAGACTGAAGAAAAGGTTTTGATAGTTTTTTCTTTTCCTCTTGAATGAACTGATATATTTCCGAACTCTGCATTTTCAATAAGCTAGTTGACATTGTACTTGCGTGAGGTGAAGATTTTAGCAGTTTTCTGGTTTCCGCTACCGTTATTTTATATTCTGTACTCGAAATTGCAAATGAACTTCTTGCTACTGTAATTAATTGAGGTGGGACCTCTGATAGTTCAGTTGTTTCCTTAAGTGTTATTTTATTTGTTTCTGAGCTAGTAATTTTAAATGAATTACTTCTTACTGAACTAGCCTGAGGTTGAGGTTTTGTTAGTTCACTTTTTTCTTCTTTGGGTATCTGAAATTTTTCAGTAATGGGAATTTTCATTAAACTGGTTGGCATTTCACTTGATTGAGGTGGAGATTTCAATAGTTTTCTTGTATCTTCATGAGTTAATTCATAATTTTCTGTACTTGAAATTGCAATTGAACTAACTTTTATTGTATTTGGCTGGGGTGAAGGTTTTGATGGTTCATTTTTTTGCTCTTGAGGTTTTTGATATTTTTCAGTACTCGGAACTTTTAATAAACTAGTTGTCATTATACTTGATTGAGGTGAAGATTTCGGTTGTTTTGTTGATTCTTCTTGAGTTGTTTGATTCTTTTCTGTACATGAAATAACAAATGAACTAATTTTCATTGTAACAGACTGAGAAATAGGTTTTGATAGTTTGTTCTTTTCCTCTTGAGTGAACAGATATATTTCCGAACTCTGCATTTGCAATAAGCTAGTTGACATTGTTCTTGCGTGAGGTGAAGATTTTAACAGTTTTCTGGATTCCGCTCCCGTTATTTGAGATTCTGTACTCGAAATTGCAAATGAACTTCTTGTTTTTGTAATTGATTGAGGTGGGGCCTCTGATAGTTTAGTTGTTTCCTTAAGTGTCATTTTATTTGTTTCTGAACTAGTAATTTTAAATGAATTACTTCTTATTGAACTCGACTGCGGTTGAAGGTTTGTTAGCTTACTTTTTTCTTCTTTAGGTATCTGATAATTTTCAGTAACAGGACTTTTGAATAAACGGGTTGGTATTTCACTTGATTGAGGTGGAGATTTCAATAGTTTTCTTGTAACTTTATGAGCTATTTCATTATTTTCTCCACATTCTATACATGAACTACTTGATATTGTACTAGATTGGAGGGGAGATTTCGATCGTTTTTTTTCCTGTTGAGATTTTTGATATTTTTCCGTACTGGATATTGCTACTGAACTTCTTGGAATTATAATCGATTTTATTAAACCAGGCAGACTATCTGTTCTCGAAATTTCAAATAAACTACTTCTTATTGAACTAGACTGAGGTTGAGGTTTTGTTAGTTCCCTTTTTTTCTTCCTTAGGTATCTGATATTTTTCAGTAATAGGAATTTTGATTGAACTGCTTGGTATTGTACTTGATTGAGGTGGAAATTTTAATAGTTTTCTTGTTTCTTCTTGAGTCATTTCATATTTTTCTGTACGTGAAATAACAAATGAACTAATTTTCATTGTAACAGACTGAAGAAAAGGTTTTGATAGTTTGTTCTTTTCCTCTTGAGTGAACTGATATATTCCGGAACTTTGAATTTTCAGTAAACTAGTTGACATTGCACTTGAAGATTTCGCCAGTTTTCTAGTTTCTTCTCCCGTTATTTGGTATTCTGTACTCGAAATTGCAAATGAACTTCTTGGTACAGTAATTGATTGAGGTGGGGCCTCTGATAGTTCAGTTGTTTCCTTAAGTGTTATTTTATTTGTTTCTGAACTAGTAATTTTAAATGAATTACTTCTTATTGAACTAGACTGAGGTTGAAGTTTTGTTAGCTTGCTTTTTTTTTCTTTAGGTATCTGATAATTTTCAGTAACAGGAATTTTGAATAAACGGGTTGGCATTTCACTTGATTGAGGTGGAGATTTCAATAGTTTTCTTGTATCTTCATGAGTTAATTCATAATTTTCTGTACTTGAAATTGAACTAATTTGTATTGTATTTGGATGGGGTGAAGGTTTTGATGGTTCATTTTTTTGCTCTTGAGGTATTTGATATTTTTCAGTACTCGGAACTTTTAATAAACTAGTTGTCATTTTACTTGATTGAGGTGATTCTTCTTGAGTTGTTTGATACTTTTCTGTACTTAAAATTGTAATTGAACTACTTTTCATTGTACTTGACTTGGGTGAAGGTTTTGATAGTTCCCTCTTCTCCTCAATAGGGTATTGATATTTTTTATAACTCGAAATTTGTAATAAACTGGATGGAATTTCACTTGATTGAGGTGGATATTTCGATAGTTTTCTTGTTTCTTCTTGAGTTGTTTGATACTTCTCTGTACTTAAAATTGCAATTGAACTACTTTGCACTGTCCTTGACTGTGGTGAAGGTTTTGATAGTTCCATCTCTTCCCCTTGAAGTATTTGATATTTTTCAGTTCTCGGAATTTTTAATAAACCAGTTGACAGTGTACTTAATTGAGGTGGAGATTTCGATAGTTTTCTTGTTTGTTCTTGAGTTGTTCGATACTTTTCTGTACGTGAAATAATGAATGAACTAATTTTCATTGTAACAGACTGAAGAAAAAGTTTTGATAGTTTGTTCTTTTCCTCTTGAGTGAACTGATATATTTCCGAACTCTGCATTTTCGAAAAGCTAGTTGATATTGAACTTGCATGGGGTGAAAATTTTAACAGTTTTCTGGTTTCCGCTCCCGTTATTTGAGATCCTGTACTCGAGATTGCAAATGAACTTCTTGCTACTGTAAATAATTTTGGTGGGGCCTCTAATAGTTCAGTTCTTTCCTTAAGTGTTATTTTATTTGTTTCTGAACTAGTAATTTTAAATGAAATACTTCTTGCTGAACTAGACTGAGGTTGAAGATTTGTTAGCTTACTTTTTTCTTCTTTAGAAATCTGATAAGTTTCAGTAACAGGAATTTTGAATGAATGGGTTGGCATTTCACTTGATTGAGGTGGAGATTTCAATAGTTTTCTTGTATCTTCATGAGTTAATTCATAATTTTCTGTACTTGAAATTGCAATTGAACTAATTTGTATTGTATTTGGATGGGGTGAAGGTTTTGATGGTTCATTTTTTTGCTCTTGAGGTATTTGATATTTTTCAGTACTCGGAACTTTTAATAAACTTGTTGTCATTTTACTTGATTGAGGTGAAGATTTCGGTTGTTTTGTTGATTCTCCTTGAGTTGTTTGATTCTTTTCTGTACTTAAAATTGTAATTGAACTGCTTTTCATTGTACTTGACTGGGGTGAAGGTTTTGATAGTTCCCTCTTCTCCTCAACAGGGAATTGATATTTTTTATAACTCGGAATTTTTAATAAACTGGATGGCATTTTACTTGATTGAGGTGGATATTTCGATAGTTTTCTTGTTTCTTCTTGAGTTGTTTGATACTTTTCTGTACGTGAAATAACAAATGAACTAATTTTCATTGTAACAGACTGAAGAAAAGGTTTTGATAGTTTTTTCTTTTCATCTTGAATGAACTGATATATTTCCATAATCATTTTCAATAAGCTAGTTGACATTGTACTTGCGTGAGGTGAAGATTTTAACAGTTTTCTGGTTTCCGCTCCCGTTATTTGAGATTCTGTACTCGAAATTGCAAATGAACTTCTTGGTACAGTAATTGATTGAGGTGGGGCCTCTGATAGTTCAGTTGTTTCCTTAAGTGTGATTTTATTTGTTTCTGAACTAGTAATTTTAAATGAATTACTTCTTATTGAACTCGACTGCGGTTGAAGTTTTAATAGCTTAATTTTTTCTTCTTTAGGTATCTGATAATTTTCAGTAATAGGAATTTTTAATAAACGGGTTGGTATTTCACTTGATTGAGGTGGAGATTTCAATAGTTTTCTTGCATGATCCTGAGATATTTTATAATTTTCTGTACTTGAAATTGCAATTGAACTTCTTTTTGTTGTATTTGACTGGGGTGAAGGTTTCAATGTTTTAATAGATTGAGGTGGATATTTCGTTATTTTTCTTTCTGTATTTTCAGTTGTTTGATATGAACTGATTGATGTTTTAATAGATTGAGGCGGAGATTTCATTATTTTGCTTGTTGTCTTTTTACTTGCTTGATATTTTTCTGTTCTCGAAGCTTTTAAATACTTAGTTTGAGCAATTGGGTTTGCTTTGCAGTTGCATGTGCAGGAGTCTTCTTTCATTTCTATTTTACAAGTGCATTGGCAAATAGTATAAGTAAAGTTCAAACTTAGGTTTGAAATTATTTGCGTAAGTAGTAACTTGTTGGATAAAGTTGCTACTCTACTTCTAGTTACTTCTGAAGTGCTGGGAGTTAAATTGCAATGGCAGATACATGAGTCTTTACCCATTTCTAATTGACCGGTACAACCACACTCAAGAAAGCTGTATTCTTCAAGCTGAAATTTTGAAACGGTAGTTGATTGAGACAGAGATTTCGGCCGTTTCTTGTTTTCTGGACCGATAGATATTTTAATTGATTGAGCTGGAGATTTCGTTATTTTTTTTGTTGTCTGTATAGTTCTTTGATATTTGTTTGCTTTCAAAGTTTTTAAGTATTTAGTTACAGAAATTGGGTTTGATTTGCAGTTGCAGGAGCAGGAGTCTTCCTTCACTTCTATTTTACAGGTGCATTCGCAAATAGAATAAATTAAGTTCATGCTTAGGTTTGAAACTATTTGCGTAACTAGTAACCTGTTAGATGAACTGGCTGTTCTACTTGCAGGTACTTCTGAAGTGCTGGAAGTTAAATTGCATTGGCAGATACATAAGTCTTTACTTATTTCTAACTGACAGGTACAGTCACACTCAAGAAAACTGGAATCTTCAACTTGAAATTTGGAAATGGAAGTTGATTGAAGCAGAAATTTCGACCGCTTCATATTTCCTGCACTGTTTGATATTTTAATAGATTGAGGTGGAGATTTCGTTATTTTCCTTGTCGTCTCTTTACTTGTTTGAAATTTCTCAGTACTTGAAATACAAACGTATTCAGTTCTAGAGATGGGAATGTAGTTACAGTTGCAGGTACAAGATTCTTGTATTAGTTTTAATTTACAGGTGCATTCGCAAATAGTATACTTAAAGCTCAATCTTTGGTTTGAATTTATTTGCGTAAGTAGTAACTGGTTGGATGAAGTTGCTATTCTACTTCTAGTTACTTCTGAAGTGCTGTGAGTAAAATTGCAATGGCAGTTACATGAGTCTTTACCAATTTCTAATTGACAGGTACAACCACACTCAAGAAAGCTATATTCTTCAAGCTGAAATTTTGAAACGGTAGTTGATTGCGTCAGAGATTTCGACCGTTTCTTGTTTTCTGGACTGATTGATATTTTAATTGATTGAGGTGGAGATTTCGTTATTTTTCTTGTTGTCTGTTTAGTTGTTTGATATTTTTCAGTTCTTGAAATATAAATGTGTTCAGTTTTAGAGATGGGTATGTTGTTACAGTTGCAAGTACAAGATTCTTGTATTAGTTTTATTTTACAGGTGCATTCGCAAATAGTATACATAAAGTTCAAACTTAGGTTTGAATTTATTTGCGTAAGTAGTAACTTGTTGGATAAAGTTGCTATTCTACTTCTAGTTACTTCTGAAGTGCTGGGAGTTAAATTGCAATGGCAGATACATGAGTCTATACCCATTTCTAATTGACAGGTACAACCACACTCAAGAAAGCTGTATTCTTCAAGCTGAAATTTTGAAACGGTAGTTGATTGCGACAGAGATTTCGACCGTTTCTTGTTTTCTGAACTGATTGATATAGTAATTGATTGAGCTGGAGATTTCGTTATTTTTCTTGTTGTCTCTTTAGTTGTTTGATACTTTTCTGTTCTCAAAGTTTTTAAGTATTTAGTTACAGAAATTGGGTTTGATTTGCAGTTGCAGGAGCAGGAGTCTTCCTTCAGTTCTATTTTACAGGTGCATTCGCAAATAGAATAAATTAAGTTCATGCTTAGGTTTGAAATTATTTGCGTAACTAGTAACCCGTTAGATGAACTGGCTGTTCTACATGCAGTTACTTCTGAAGTACTGGAAGTTAAATTGCATTGGCAGATACATGAGTCTTTATTTATTTCTAACTGACAGGTACAATCACACCCAAGAAAGCTGGATTCTTCAACTTGAAATTTGGAAATGGCAGTTGATTGAAACAGAGATTTCGACCGCTTCTTGTTTTCTGAACTGATTGATATTTTAATATATTGAGATGGAGATTTCGTTGTTTTATTTGTAGCCTTGGAAGTATTTAAGTATTTAGTTACAGAAATTGGGTTTGATTTGCAGTTGCAGGAGCAGGAGTCTTCATTCAGTTCTATTTTACAGGTGCATTCGCAAATAGAATAAGTTAAGTTTAAACTAAGGTTTGAAATTATTTGCGTAACTAGTAACCCGTTCGATGAACTGGCTGTTCTACTTCTAGTTACTTCTGAAGTGCTGGGATTTAAATTGCATTTGCAGATACAGGAGTCTTTACCCATTTCTAATTGACAGGTACAATCACACTCAAGAAAGCTGGATTCTTTAAGCTGAAATTTGGAAATTGTAGTTGATTGAAGCTGAGATTTCAACCGTTTCTTGTTTTCGGAACTGATTAAAAGTTTAATAGACTGCGGTGAAGATTTCGTTATTTTTCTTGTTGCCTCATTAGTTGTTTGAAAATTTTCTGTTCTCGAAGTTTTTAAGTATTTAGTTACAGAAATTGGGTTTTTTTTGCAGTTGCAGGTGCAAGAGTCTTCTTCCAGTTTTATTTTACAGGTGCAATCACAAATATTATAAGTTAAGTTCAAACTAAGGTTTGATATTATTTGCGTTTCAAGTAACCCGTTAGATGAACATGCTGTTCTACTTGCAGTTACTTCTGAAGTGCTGGAAGCTAAATTGCATTGGCAGAAACATGAGTCTTTACTTATTTCTAACTGACAGGCACAATCACACTCAAGAAAGCTGGATTCTTCAACTTGAAATTTGGAAATGGCAGTTGATTGAAACAGAGATTTCGACCGCTTCTTGTTTTCTGAACTGATTGATATTTTAATATATTGAGATGGAGATTTCGTTGTTTTATTTGTAGCCTTGGAAGTATTTAAGTATTTATTTACAGAGATTGGGATTGTTTTGCAGTTGCAGGTGGAAGAGTCTGTTTTCAGTTCTATTTTACAGGTGCATTCGCAAATATTATAAGTTAAGTTCAAACTAAGATTTGAATTTATTTGCGTTTCAAGTAACCCGTTAGATGCACTTGCTGTTCTACTTGCAGTTACTTCTGAAGAGCTGGGACCAAAATTGCATTTGCAGATACATGAGTCTTTATCCATTTCTAATTGACAGGAACAATCACACTCAAGAATACTTGATTCTTCAAGCTGAAATTTGGAAATGGTAGTTGCTTGAAGCAGAGATTTCGACAGTTTCTTGTTTTCTGAACTGATTGATATTTTAATATACTGAGGTGGAGATTTAGTTATTTTTCTTGTAGCCTTATTAGTGGTTTGATATTTTTCTTTTCTTGAAGTATTTATGTATTTAGTTACAGAAATTGGGTTTGTTTTGCAGTTGCATGTGCAAGAGTCTTCTTTCAGTTCAATTTTACAGGTGCAATCACAAATATTATAAGTTAAGTTCAAACTAAGGTTTGATATTTTTAGCGTTTCAGGTAACCCGTTAGATGAACTGTCTGTTCTACTTCTAGGTACTTCTGAAGTGCTGGGAGTTAAATTGCATTGGCAGATACAAGAGTCTTTACCCATTTCTAATTCACAGGTACAATCACTCCCAAGAAAGGTGGATTCTTCAAGCTGAAACTTTGAAATGGTATTTGATTGAAGCAGAGATTTCGACCGTTTAATTTTTTCTGAGCTGATTGACACTTTAAAATATTGAGGTGGAGATTTCGTTATACTTCTTGTAGCCTCAATAGTTGTTTGATAATTTTCTGCTCCCGAAGTTTTTAAGTATTTAGTTACAGAAATTGGGTTTGATTTGCAGTTGCAGGAGCAGGAGTCTTCCTTCAGTTCTATTTTACAGGTGCATTCGCAAATAGAATAAATTAAGTTCATGCTTAGGTTTGAAATTTTTTGCGTAACTAGTAACCCGTTAGATGAACTGGCTGTTCTACATGCAGTTACTTCTGAAGTGCTGGAAGTTAAATTGCATTGGCAGATACATGAGTCTTTATTTATTTCTAACTGACAGGGACAATCACACCCAAGAAAGCTGGATTCTTCAACTTGAAATTTGGAAATGGCAGTTGATTGAAACAGAGATTTCGACCGCTTCTTGTTTTCTGAACTGATTGATATTTTAATATATTGAGGTGGAGATTTCGTTGTTTCATTTGTAGCCTTGGAAGTATTTAAGTATTTAGTTACAGAAATTGGGTTTGATTTGCAGTTGCAGGAGCAGGAGTCTTCATTCAGTTCTATTTTACAGGTGCATTCGCAAATAGAATAAGTTAAGTTTAAACTAAGGTTTGAAATTATTTGCGTAACTAGTAACCCGTTAGATGAACTGGCTGTTCTACTTGCAGTTAATTCTGAAGTGCTGGAAGTTAAATTGCGTTGGCAGATACAGAAGTCTTTACTTATTTCTAACTGACAGGTACAATCACACTCAATAAAACTGGATTCTTCAGCTTGAGATTTGGAAATGGTAGTTGATTGAAGCAGAGATTTCGACTGTTTCTTGTTTGAACTGATTGATATTTTAATATATTGAGGTGGAGATTTCGTTGGTTTTCTTGTAGCCTTCGAAGTATTTAAGTATTTGTTCACAGAGATTGGGTTTGTTTTGCAGTTGCAGGTGCAAGAGTCTATTTTCAGTTCTATTTTACAGGTGCATTCGCAAATGTTATAAGTTAAGTTCAAACTTAGGTTTGAAAATATTTGCTTAAGTAGTAACCCTTTAGATGAGCTTGCTTTTCTACATGTAGTTAGTTCTGAAGTGCTGGTATTTAAATTGCATTTGCAGATACATGAGTCTTTACGCATTTCTAATTGACAGGTACAGTCACACTCAAGAAAGCTGGATTCTGCAAGCTGAAATTTGGAAATTGTAGTTGATTTAAGCAGGGATTTCAATCGTTTCTTGTTGTCGGAACTGATTGAAATTTTAATAGATTGCGGTGGAGATTTCTTTTTTTTTCTTGTTACCTTGTTAGTGGTTTGATATTTTTCTGTTCCCGAAGTTTTTAAGTATTTAGCTACAGAAATTGGGTTTGTTTTGCAGTTGCAGGTGCAAGTTTCTTTTTCCAGTTTTATTTTACAGGTGCATTCGCAAATATTATAAGTTAAGTTCAAACTAAGGTTTGAAATTTTTTGCTTAAGTTGTAAGCCGTTAGATGAACTTGCTGTTCTACTTGTAGTTATTTCTAAAGTGCTGGACTTAAAATAACGATGACAGACACTTTCATTTGACGATAAACTCTTTAACTTCCCATGATTAGCTTCATTTAACATCATTGAGCTTACTGCAACGCATTCTTCGGAGGTGCCCACATCATTCAAGAGATTGGTTGGTTGAAATTCCATTTTAGAACATAATTTACGAATTGACTTTGGGTCCGTTGTTGAAAATGTTAAGCTTGCATTATTAATTTTCGCTTGCTGAACTTGTAAGAATATTTGGTCTCGTGCCTTTAATGTTAAGTTTTGCCCTTTTATATTTAGTTTTGTGACTGATTCTTTTAGTATATTTTGTTTCTCTTTTGTACTTTTACTTAAAGGCCATTTTGTTTGTGTATATGGTGACATATATGTCTCTTGAACAATCAAGCTAACCGTCTTGTTAATTACTTTTAATTGTGTTTCACTATATTTTTTCTTGATGACCATATTAGTTTTCCCTTGTTTTTTTTTTATTGAAGTCGGGAAGCTTTTTTTCAAATATAAAGGTTTCATTTTTAAATAAGTAGCGATTACTTTTGTTTTTTTTGCTGACAAATATTCAAATAAGTCCGTTTGTTCTAATATGTTACGTGGAGATCCATCCTTAACCATATTTGTTAAAAATTTGTTTCGTCTTCGAATTAATAATAACAACCGTAGAACTGGCTTGGTTTTAGCATATTTATTTACGTTTTTCAAGAAACTTCGAAGCTTTTGTGTAACTATCTTGTGCGTGTTTGATTTTAACGATTCTCTAGCAATACCTAACCTATTTTTACCGTTCAATATATTAGTATGTTTTAATATAATCGTGAAGGAATTTGAGAAATTTCGCGCCTTAGAATACATTTTTAAGTTATCAATTATACAAAAATAAAAATTTTAATTTTGAAAAACTCACCCGCTTTAAATATATCTTCCAATGTTCATTCCTTTTGATTTGACAATCTTCAGGTAAAGATTTTAATCTATGTCTGTAAAGCTGGTTACTTTTGAAATGGCATTGACTTAAGAAACGATTTTTCCAATATTTTATTTTATGCTGTAAATGTAGAAATAAAGAAAAGTCTGTTTTTTTAATTATCAAAACTTACCTTAAAAAAACGATAGTTCCGAACTGGAATTATGGGGAAGCGAGAAATACGCCAGTTCAAAAGCGTATTCAAAAATAGCTTCCAAAAAATAATTTTCGATTTGCTATTTGGTCTAATATTTGATTTTATTAGCTTGTAAAAATGTCTGTAACTCAAAGTTTTTTTTGGAATAAGTTTATTATATAACGATATTTTTGGCATTTTTCGAAACCGATTAGCTGACCTAGTGAAGTTGAAATAGGTAAAACGTCTATTATAAAAAGCCAATGGTTTAGATAAATAAATGTAAAAAGCTAAGTTCCGATTTGAATTTTGATCATTTATCCAAAGTATTATTTTTGGGTTGCTAATGGGTCCTGTAAATAATAACTTGGTTTTCCAATCAGAAATACAATTTTTCAGATTACTTACCTGCGAAAATATAAATAACAAAGGCAAGAATTACCCAAAAGCGTATTAATAACTGCATTTTTGAATTACTTATTATATCGGCTAGTGAGGGTTTTACTTTTGCGAGGAGTAAATTTGCAAGGGTTAATTGAAAAAAATACTTTAAATTGAATTTTCATGTCTTATGATTTGATAATAGGCGCTTAAATGTAATTCGTTACAGCCTCATCTACTTACAATGAAATATAGGGTTCATTTTCAAAGCAAACAGAACACAACATATTTTTCTACAACAATTAAATCTAATTTGTTTACGGCAGTAAAAATTATTATTAACAATATCACATTTTTTATATATTACACAAACGTCACAAACGTCATGCGCCGGCGGTATTGTATGCCACTTAATATTAAGGTGCTAAATTTAAGATATTTAAATTTCTGCACGCTTGAGGAGCTTTAGTTTGTATTTCCTTTATATCTACACTCCCAAAATATTTCCACAATTTTTTTCAAATTCATTTTATATTGAGAGCCTTAACGATAAGGCTAAAATTAGGAAAACCGAAATAAAAAAAAAACTATATGTTTTTTAATGGTAGTACTTATCCCTATGGACGGCAGTAGTGATGATGCGCACCAAGTACGTGTGCATAGGAGACAACTATATACAGCCGCAGATTTTAAAATGTGCTGTGATATTCCGGTCGTAATGAGTAATACACCAATCAAAAAGTATCGGTAACAGAAATGGGATTTCGAGACTTAAGAAAAAACATTTTGGTAGTACTTGTTAAAAATACGCATCGAGTATTTTGCGGACTTTTTTTAGAATCCTGAAATAATTCTGCATGTTTTGGCCAGGTCGTTACGGCTTATTTATTAAGCGGAAAATCGTTTACCATGGCTAAACTTCGCACGCCCATAACTTCTAAGCTAGTTAAACTATAGAAAAGTGCTATATGTCGTTAAAAAGTTATTGTCAAATGTTACCGCTGCCTTAACATAATTGGTAAAACAGTTTTAAAACTATTTATTTTTTAAATTTATTTTTAAAATTTTGTACATGTTGATGAACGCTTTGCAGCCGTTATTTTGAATTCATATATTTGTATTCAACTTAAGTTTTGGTATTTTTAAGTGTCATATACCATTTGTGCTGCGCCACACTCTTGAAATTTTTTGGTGATAAGACTGCAACCAAACATTTCGGACACGCAGAAACCGTCTGGTTAAAATAAAAATAATACAGTCCACTTAAGCTCGGGAATTAAACGTTTTAATTCATCACCATATCTTTGATCCTTTTCGCCAAATAAAGTAATTGATTAACATGGATCAATTAAAATTACTGAAGGCAGCAAGGAGCCGTGCGAAGGCAAGCATCACGCGTATGCTAACGGCGTCACAATATCCACGTGCGGGATCACCCTGGGAACTGGACGAAATAACAGTGTCATTGGATAGGCTCATTGGATAGGCTCATTGGATTTGAGACACTCAGCGACAAAACGGCCCTTTTCGACGAGGAGGAGGGGTATGTCGATCCAGCCATCGACAACGAGCGGTACGAAGACAAGTACTTGCAAGCAAACATCTTATTTCACTCGCTAAAACGGGCTTGCGAACAAGCAAGGGAGAGCGAGGATGAAAGCAACAACGGAAGACAGTCTGGCAACCTTTCTACAACAATAACAGGAACTTAATGAATAGCTGAGCAACAAACTACGTTTTTGCGGGCAAACTCGACAGCAAACGTAATGCAGAACGAGTTGCCAAAAATACGCATAAAGTCTTTTACTGGTGACTACAAGGAGTGGCCAGCATTCAAGAACATCTTCGAGAGTACGATTCACAGCAAGCAGCATTTGACAGCGATACAAAAGTTTCACTACTTAAAGACATACATTACGGGAGAAGCAGCTGACTTAATACGTCATATGCCAATTACGGATGCAGCTTACGAGTCTGCTTGGAATTGCTTGATTGAGCCCTATAACAGACCACGTCACATTGTGAACACTCTGCTGGATACCTTTGTAAACTTACCTTCGACATCCAGAGCAGATGTATCAATACTGCGCAAAGTAACAGACGGAGCTACAGAGATTGTACGCGGCTTGGATGCAGCAGGGCAAACAAACAGGGACTGCTGGGTAATTCATTTCATTCTGGCCAAGATTGACGCTGAAACTCGACGCAAGCGGATTGAGGGCAGTTGTAAACTGTAATCGCCGACTGTGGACGATCTACTCAAGTTTTAAGACCGCCGCTGCGAGGAATTTGAGCTCAGCAAAAGTGAGCCTGACAAAGTCTTCCAAGTTGGTTCACAGCAAAACAAGGCCAGGCGATCGTCACACGCCTTGGTATCAAAGGAGGAAGGTGCTTGTGCTAAATGTAACACCAAGGAGCTCAAGATCTTTACCTGCCCAAAGTTTAAGGACTTATCAGTCGAGCAGAGACGCACTTTTGTTAAGGCTAAATCCTTGTGCTTTAATTGCTTGAAGTTCGGGCATGTGTCACGCAGGTGTGAATCCAAATTCACATGCAGAACTTGTCACAATCGTCACCACTCTCTACTACACATAGAAGATTCTACTGCATACGCCGCTGTAACCAGGACCCATTCAAGGGATGAGGAGCAGCGCGACCTCGGAAAAGCGCATTGCCCACAGCTCTAGTACTCGTTCGCAACGCCAAAGGATCACACACTTCCTGTCGGGTGCTTTTGGACAGTGGTTCGGAACTGTCATACATCTCCGAGCGATGCGTGCAGGCGCTCGGCCTGGAGCGCTTGCCATCACGAATTTTGGTGTCAGGAATTTCTTTGATCAAGGCTGAGACAACTAGAGGCTGCAGCGCACTGGATATTCAGTTAAGAATATCAGAACACACAATGAAGGTACGTGCCCATGTACTCAGCAAAATTATCTCCACTTTGGCCAGACACAATATCAACGCCCCAGCACTTAAGGCGTTCGATGGCTTGGAGCTTGCAGATTCTGACTACCAATCGTTGGCGCCAGTAGATATTCTCTTGGGCAGCGATTGCGTTTGGACCGTGTTCACTGGTAAAAAGCTGTTCGACAGCCAGGGGAAGATCATCGCCATTTCGATGGATAGGTCATTACTTCGATCGTGACTACAGGCTCTTCATATACAACAACTATGCACACGGCTATTGACATTGATGCATCACTTCGACGCTTTTGGGAGCTGGAGTATGTCAACCAAGAACTTCATCGGAAACCAGAGAACGATGAAGTTGAACAGCACTTTTTGAAGATACACACATGGGACCCCAAGGGGCGTTACATCGTCGAACTTCCGTTTAAAGACCCCAATAAGCAGTTTTCGGATACTCTAACTAACGGAAATTCCTTGAATGATGCGCTACGCATTGGTCCCAGTATCCTGCGAAACTTATTTTCAATTTGTATCCGATTTAGAATGTTTAAGTTCGTCTTCTCCGCAGATATCGTCAAAAAGTACAGACAAATCTTGGTGGCTGCCAAGCATTGTAGCTACCAGCGAATTGTATGAAGAGATAATGCATGTTCGCCTATCAAATACTATGAACTGTCCGCGGTAACATACGGCACGTCTAGTGCACCATTTTTGGCTGTAAGAGTTTTGGATCAGTTAGCTCACGACCATCAACACGAATTTCAGACTGCTGCGAAAGTCGTACAGGAAGAGTTTTATGTGGACGACGTACTCACTGGAGCATACACAGAGGAAGAGCTCGTTCGCAATCAAAATGAGTTAATCAAACTTATGAAATGTGAAGGCATGAAGCTTGGAAAATGGGTCTCAAACTCGCCACGCATTTCTGAAGCAACGTTCATTTCTGAAGGAAAAGAATTCCATTCAACAGCGAAGGTTCTTGGCATCCATTGGGATCCAAAGCAAGATACGATCTCATTCAAAGTTTGCCTTTCATCACAAGTGCTGTCTGACGTGGCACCATCTTTGACCCGCTGGGTGTCCTATCGCCAGTGGTGGTACAATTCAAAATTTTGTTTCAAGAATTGTGGCTTCTTGATCTCGGCTGGGATACGGAACTTCCTCCAAAAATCGCTGAATGGTGGAACAAATGCCGTAACGACTTGAATGCACTACAAGAGCTACGTATGCCAAGATTTATTGACAACAAGGAAAATCACATCGAACTGCACGGTTTTGCTTCTATCAAGGCGAATTCGGCAGTTGTCTACAGCAGATAAGTAGGCGCGAATGCTACTGCTTCTGTGTCACTTATAGCAGGAAAAACCAGAGTTGCTCCGCTTATCAATCACTACCGCGCTCTACAACACAAGGACATCGTCATACATGCGTGGTGCGACTCAACCATCGTTTTGGCATGGCTTTCACACCCACCATCGAAGCTCAAAACATTTGTGGCAAACCGAACGACAGAAATACTCGATACTATACCTCGCAATGCCTGGCATCATGTAAATATTTAAGAAAATCATGCTGACTGCGCAACGCGAGGCATGCTGGCTGCAGAACTCATTCATTTCGACCTGTGGTGGATGGGTCCTACATGGCTACAAGATCAAGAAAAACTCGAGATAAAGTTGAGCTGCCAAAGGTTCTGTTCTTCTATTTCAGAAAACCATGGTAAAGAAGAGGTGAAGACCACCGCACTGACTACTCAGGAGGTAATCTTATTGTCACCGATCGAAGCACTGGCTCAGCGGGTCTCATCCTGGACAAAAATGGTTCGCATTGCAGCTTACTCTCTACGCTTCATCCAAAGGATCAAGGCTATTACGTCAGGCACGCTGACAAATTGCAAGGGGCTCACCTTTGAGGAGATGCAGGCTGCTCGCATTCTTTGCCTTCAAGACGCTCAGAAATGCTTCAAGAACGACTACAATCTTCTGATGGAGAACAAGCCACTTCAGAGCCGCTCCCAGCTCATTAAGCTTTCACGGATCATTAGCAAGGATGGCCTTCTTCAAGTCGGTGGACGACTGGACAATTCACAATTACCAGCTGATGTCAAACACCCAATTTTTCTTCCCAAATCGCACAGCATTACAAGGATGATTTTGGAACACGAACATGCGTCAAATCTGCACCCTGGAGTTTCAGCATTTTTTGTCATTATCCGCCAAAAATATTGGGTCTTTGGCGCACGCAACCTCATAAGGAATCTGGTGCACAATTGCATCAAATTTTTTCGCCAACGAAATCAAAGAGCACAAGAATTCATGGCCGATCTACCGGGGATTCGCATTACAGAAGCACTTCCGTTCCAGCATTCAGGCTGCAATTACGCTGGACCATTTATTCTCAAGGAAAGAAGTGGGCGAAATGCACGGAAAATCCACTGTTTGTCTGCCTCGTAACATCAGCCATTCACTTGGAACTGGCCACCGATCTCAGCACAGACACTTTCATAGCATGTCTTCGTCGTTTCATGTCCCTGCGTGGGAAATGTTCTTCAAATCTTTTGGTGTTAAGCGGGCTTTAGATGAAATGCAGCAACTTTTATCTTCACAGGAGCATCGGAATACAGTAGCGCAAACATTGGCCACCGATGGCATAAAATGGAATTTCATACCTCCACACTCGCCACACTGGGGCGGAAAATGGGAGTCAGCGGTACGTTCTGTGAAATTGCACCTTCGACGCGTCGTGGGAAAGACGATCTTGACCTTTGAGCAAATGCAAACTCTAATCGCCCAAATAAGCGCGTTTGTGAACCCAAAACCGTTGTGCTATATACCTGACATTGACCTCACATACTTGTCGCCAGCCCATTTTCTTATTGGACGCCCATTTACAACTGTTCCAGAGGGTGATCTAACTCATTTGCCAATCAATCGCATGGACTATTGGCAACATTTGCAATCCATGTATCAAGGATTTTGGAAACGCTGGCACCAGGAATACTTAACATCGCAACAGCAACGTCACAAGTGGAACAGCAAGCAACGCAACATTTCAGTGGACAACGCCATGCTTGTAAAGGACTCAAATCTTCCACCAGCAGCTTGGCAACTAGCCCGTGTGTTAGAAGCTCATCCTGGACCAGATGGATTTGTACGCGCCGTGAAAATTAAGACATCTACCGGAGAGATGACTAGACCTATCACAAAGCTAGCAGTATTGCCTAATTCTGAAACCGTGTTTCAGGGCGGCCCGGGATGTTTATGAACGCTTTGCAGCCGTTATTTTGAATTCATATATTTGTATTCAACTTAAGTTTTGGTATTTTTAAGTGTCATATACCATTTGTACTGGCCACACTCTTGAGATTTTTTAGGGATAAAACTACAGCCAAACATGTCGGACACGCAGAAACCGTCTGGTTAAAATAAAAATAATACAGTCCACTCAAACTCGGGAATTAAACGTTTTAATTATATATACAACGGACCAAACGATTTTTGTTTCACTTTTTGCGAATATAGCTCTTGAGATTTTTCAACTTTTGGTTTATAACACGTGTTTTTCAGCAACAAAAGCGGGATTTCTTATTTCAGAGCAGTTAACGCTGCCGGGGCAAAAATTTCTTCTTAAAAGTATGTACCACCAATTTGGTGAAGAAAATGCAAAAAAAAAATGGTTTCAAGTTAAAAAAGAAACATTCTCACTAAGTATTTGTAAAATATTAATTATTATTTAAAAATTAAATATAAAAGTATTCTTAGTTTAAGCAAATTTATATGATTTCTCTTGTTGATTGAATATATAGCTTTTGTTTTTTTTTAGCTTGGACTTAAAAATAGCTAGATTTGCGACTACAGGCTACATACAATTTGTATAGTCTATTCCATTTTCAAAAAACTGACTCGTTTAACCATGTAATTTTTAAACCAACAGACATAACCGCATTTTAGCAGCGATAAAATTAAAAAAAAAAACTTAGTGGGGCCAAAATAAAATTAATGCACTATATATAATTGCTCAAATACTCATTTCAGATAGTATCTACCCTTTACAAGTTTATGCTTTTTTAAACAAGCGATATGAAGGAAAAAGTATCAAAAAATGCTTTATGCACATCTCCAAAAAAATTTTAAAAACAGGTATACTACTAATGATTTAATAATAATGGAAACTTGTAATATACAAAAAAAGGAGAAAATAAATTGAAATCAAGACTCGTCAGCTTTTGTCTCTACAATGCGACTTATTATTGGTATATCTTCGACCTTTGTAAAGTTAGCCAACGAATCAGAATTTAGAATGTTTTGGATATAGTCATGTCTGAATTTTTCCCACTTTCGTGTCTTAAGAAAGTCCTTGTACAAGTTCTCCCTAGTTGGAATATTGCATTCGATATAAAAACGCTGCCGTTGCCAAAAGTTACCGGGATTCTGGGCGGCCTCAAAAAGCCAGAAGCGGGGTATTAGGATGCACTGCACCTTTGTCCGCGCCATAATGACGCGGTGGTCCATTTTCTCGCCCAACCCGAAGATCCCACCATAGGTTAGTGAGCCAACGTCAACAAAATGCGTTTCATAGTGCTCTAGTCCGTCTCCCTCCTCGACAGTTGCTTTAAGCGAGGTAGTCGAGGCGGTGAATATTTCCGATCCCTCTGTCTCGCTCTCTATGCCAATATCGAGTATTTCTGTGACAGGCGACTGCCGTCCGGAATTCTCGCTGTAGCGATCATCTGCCAGGTCCTTGTAGTTATCATAGGTTTCTTCGCCCTCGTCCGTTATGTACAACTCGTATTCCCCCCGCTCCACCTGGCGTCCTTTCTCCCGCTGCCGGTGTTGCTGTCGTTGCCGCTGTCGTCCTTGTTCCTTACTAGATCTCCTAGGCGGCGATTTTTTCGCAGCGCAGGCGCGCTGTATCTCTTTAAGACCCATTTTGCGCAGCTGGAAAGAGAACACAAGTAAGGAAACAAACTTTGGTAAGTCAGCTTGTGTAAGTCGAAGTAATTACAAACAAACAAATGTATGGGTCAATACTCGTATTCTTTTATTTATGCTTATCTGTCAATCATAAAAAGAATTAATAGGGTTTTATATATTTTTTTATACCCTTGCAGAGTGTATTATAATTTCAGTCAGAAGTTTGCATAGCAGTGGAGGAGGCGTTTCCGACCCTATAAAGTATTATTTCATTTTTGCAATAGCTGCAAGGGTATATGAAATTCGGCTTTCCGAAGTTTGCTTCCTTTCTTATTTTTAATTGACAAAAAAACTTTTTATAAGTTAATAAAAAAAACGGATTTTTAAAGATTCTAGTCGTCTGATATCTTTAATATTAAACATGTAGCGTCATTTGTTTTGCAAAGCATCTAGGAAGACGTATCGATTGGACTAAGATTAAGAATATAACACTTTATGTGGTCAAGAACGTTATCTTCTACCTGTTACCTACTTTTCAAATGTGAATAAAACGTAGTAATATATAACATTTATATATAAAGAATTATTTAGATTATTATTATTACACGTAAGCCATCTAGAATTTTTGGGAAATAAATCTCTTATCCATTTCTAACTTTGTAAACTTACTGATCTCTCTTTAAAAGGAGACCAAGTATGGAGCTCCAAGTCTACGCCACCTGCATAAAAATATATTTTTTATCAAAATCAACAATGCGTAGAAATGATGAAAACAGTTTTTTTTCACAAACCTCTGGTATTCCTTAAATTCATCAAAGCGCACACTATACGCGGATAAGTGGAAGATTTTAAATATTTTATACAAGTTTGTGTCACCCTTATTTACATGTACATAAGCTACAGACCGCCTGATGTGATACCACCAGCTTTCGGGCGCTTTGAGCACTCACCCCTCTCTTCCTGCTCTGATTATTCTCATCCACCGATGAACTGGACTGCATGTATTCGTTTACGTCGAAGAACGGCGCGCTGTTGATCTTAGAACCGTCATCCATTGCCAGGGTTCCAGACTCCCTTTTAGGCACCAATGCCAGCTCAAAGACCTTTTGCCTGTTGACCATGCTTACCTGAAAAGGAAAATATGTAGTCCGGCCAGACCGAAATTGCCATTTAACAAACCTTCATATGAAGGCACTGGAGCACGACACACTCCCCGCTAAGAACAAAGTAGACAAAACTCATAGAACCCAAGTCCTCGGTGTAGATAGTCTCCAAAGGATTGAACTGCTGAATGGTCCCATACTTGCTGGCGTTTACAATCTAAGCCAGTGGAATTGGGCCTTAATCAAAGGTCGGTTGGATTTTCATTCCAGCACATACCTGCTCTTCGTTAAGAAAATTAAAATAGTCTATGGCCCGAAGCGCAGCCTTCTTTTCTTGCCACAACTTTTGCATATAGGGTTGAAGGACGAACTTGTAATTTTTATTGAAAACTGCTAGTAGCTCGCAATAAGCTGAAAACTAGATTCGGTTAATCCATTGAGCTTTACACTAAAATATCAAGTTTACTTGTGGCGATGTAAGTGTTCGTCCTGGGAGAGTCTTCCATGACGTCGATGTCGCCAATGCAATCGCCAGGTCCAAAGATAGCCTCTGATTGCAGCTCAAAGCCTTTTGTGGCCTAAATAAAAACAAATTATTATTTATTATTATTTTTACTAGCCTGCATACCTCTTACAAAGAAGTTTGTGTGCATAATGTTTTTTCCTTATTAAAGAAGTACAAAAGCTAGTACTGGGTATGTAGTTACATTTGCAGATAAAGTTTACGAAATAAAAACATAAAGTGATTAAAAATTTCGAATATATGTAATAAGGAACTTAAATCAAAAATCGGCTTTGTACTAAATAGTTAAATGTACATATTTGATTTTTTTTTAATATAATATTGTAAATAATTATGTAAACAGGATATTAATAATCCATATTGTTACCGTTATTCAGATTTACGGAACTAAGTCGGAATGGCTGAAATCCACGAAAGATTTAAGGTGGGTTGGATCAATATAGGCCCATTCTTGGTCTATTGCGTTTTTAAGATTTCTTACCGTCTCACTCATTCTTTCGTTCTTGAACACTTTGGCAGAGAGGATACCCCAGAGGTTTATTCAGACTCAGATCCGGTCTAAATGCGGGCCAGTCCAATAAAGGTATTTTTCGGCTTGTAAAGAAGAATTTGGTGACGTGAGCTGCGTGTATTGATGCATTGTCCTGCTGAAACGTTCAGTTGTCTCCATATATATAGTCATTAAACTCTATTTACTCACTATCCAGAAGACCCACTTACTTTTGATTTATTCGTGTAGAGATGTATAACATGAGTGACTTTCCCCTATAGCAGAACGCAGCCCATACCATCACACTGCCACCGCAAAGCGCTCGTTTAAAACAGTATCGCCGATCTCGGCGCATATCTTTCAAATAATTTTTGCAATTATCAGGGCCATCTAGATTTAACTTCTTTGTACTTAACGGTAATTATTTGCAAATTCAATGCGAGCCTTCTTGTGCCGCTGCAAAAGCTTGGGTTAAGGTACCATGTACCTATACGACTCTTGGTTATTTGGAGCTTTAAATTGTCCGCTACTCATTAAGTTAACCACAGCAAGTCGTTTTTTGCCCACTTCGTTGGATCGAACTACATTTACTCGAATTTGATTCAGTTGCGGTGCCTGTTTACTTTTTTTTGCGATATCAGTGATATTCGCACCGCTATAATGCATTCCTTTTATGATTCCTTCTTCATAGTCTGTCAAACTTGTACAACGAGGCATTTAAGCTGCCCAATAGCAAAATATACAAATCAAATGCACTATTTTGAACAGTAATATGCATACAATAAGTATCTAAAGCTTATATTTGCAACCCTCTAATTTTTCTTTTTTGCATGCCTTAAATACACTTAAGCGCAAAATATAAGGGGGTAAGAGTAGGACCTAAGATTTATTTCATACAAAAAACAACTTTGATTTTTGTTTTTGTCGGGTCCGTCATTGCCATAACATAATTTATGTATATCATACATATATCATCAAAAATTTTCAAAAAAATGTTCGAAAACCTAACAGTTGATTTTTAAATTTTTTTTTCGCAAGAAAATTGTTTGCCCACCTTTCAGAATTTTGAAAAAGTAAAAACTTTAGAGAGTTTAAAACTTTTAAGATTTCATAATTTTTTACCCAATAAAAATTCATTTGCCGAAGGCATAAAAACAGTTTTTTCGAAAAAATAAAAACTGCCCATGTTTGCCCACCTGTTCTTATTTCAGAATCTACAAAAAACTCGTTTGCCCACTTCTTAAAAATATGTTTTTTTTAACAAACAAGAAAGGAAGCATACTTCGGCAAGCCGAAATTCATATACCCATGCAGCTATTTCAAAAATTAAATATTCTTGATAACATTAAAATTATGATTGACTTGCGGGTATGTTTACATTGATGATTTGCAGCTCAATTATTTGATAGTTCCTATGTCAGCTATATGATATCGTTTTCCGATTTTAATAAAATTAAAAGCGTAATTCTGAACTGTCAAATTATTAATTAATCAAATAGAATTTCTAAAAAAAATTGTCAAAACAAAAAATTAAAATTTTTGTAAAATTTTTGTTTTAATATTTTTATTGTTCCTATGGGAGCTTTATGTTATAGTCGTCCGATTTTGATGAAATTTAAACTAAACAAAAAATTTAAAAACACAAAAGTTATATATTTTTATTTTTTTTTCCGATTGTTTCTATGGGAGCTGTATGCTATAGTATTCTGATCCGGCTCGTTTCGACTTATATAATACCTGCAATAAAAAGACAACTTTTGGGAAAGTTTCATGCAAATAGCTTTAAAACTGAGAGACTAGTTTGCGTAGAAACGGACGGACAGACGGACATGGCTAGATCGACTCGCCTAGTGATGCTGATCAAGAATATATATATTTTATAGGGTCGGAAATGTCTCCTCCACTGCGTTGCAAACTTCTGACTGAAATTATTATACCCTCTGCAAGGGTATAAAAATTGTAGTGTGCATGCATACAGATTAAACACTGTACCATCGGAAACAATGTTAGCCAAATCTGAAGGATCAGCGCACTCTTCAAGTGCAAACGTAATTTGACCACACACGCTATCAGCGAGTGATAAGTCACGCCAGCTTTTTCCCACAGTTGGCGACTGCAACAATTCAATCCATGTATGCACATAACATTTCTTCTCTATATATATTATTTGTATGTTGTTTTATTAATTAAGAAGTTGTAGCCGTGCAAAGTTCAGCTATTTTTATCGATTTTCCGCTGAATAAGCTAGTTTTTTTAAAACATCCTAGAACAAACTTTTTTTGTAACGACCTGCCTATCACGTGAAAATTTATTCCGGAATCTTTAAATTTTTTTTTAAACTAAAAAACCAAAAAAAAAAAAATCTTTTAAAAACTTTTGAACGAATCATCGGATCATTCGACGCGTACTTTCAACAATATTTTAACTGTGCTAAAAAATATTTTACCAACCCAGGCTCAAGAACTCTACCTAAAAATTGTTTTGTATTTAAATTTCACCGCCCTTTCTCCTGAGCCAATTAATTTTCCTTAAGTCGTGGTGTTCTATTAGCGAAACCTTTCGATTGGTGTATTGGGGGCATCGTCTCTACATGCACTGCCGTCCATAGTGATATTTGAATAGCTTCAAGAGTATATAAACTTCGGCTTGCCGATGTTTGCCTCCTTTCTTGTTAAGGATGCCAGTGAGACTAATAAAAGTTTTTACAATTTTTAATAAAAGGACCTTAAAAATAAATGTTACTGATTTTATCGATCCCTGCCCAGAACTTATGTTTTTTCAAAATTGAAAGTTACCCATCAAAGTTTACTGTGTTGACTGCATTTTTTGTCGCATACGATAAGAACAATACGATTTAAACAATTTACCTTATTTAATTCATTCCTCAACATGTCCACTTCTCCTGCGATTATGAAATAAATGGTTACGGGAAAATCTCCCTCCTTCATAATGACGCGCCCGGGAGTGACCGCCATGAACTTGACATGCGGTACAAGGCGGGCGCGGACTTTCTACAAGAGATAGGCCCAATGAAGAATGGTAAAGGTGAATGTGCAATTAGTTGAATACACACCGGCGGATACTTCGAGAAGCATGCTAGGTTTGCCACAATATTGCACAACTTCTTTCTGTCATCGACGGTTCGCGCGGATTGCGAAGTGCGCAGTAGCGATTTCTCCTGTAGTTTGGAAACGATGATGGGTTTTGGATTACTCAGAGCTCATGTAGAGTTCAGCGTATTGCTCAGCACTTACGGCCATGGTCATCATGCCGACCTTGCGCTTCTGTCGCACCACCATGGCCACGTTCTTTTTTACATTCAGCGAAATGCCCGTATCCTCTGTGGCCTCGTTCAGCCACTGCATGTTCAGAATCACGGATCGAACGAGCTTCTTGAACCGGTTTTTGGCAGCCCTCTTCGCCGGGGCATCGAGTCCATCGCGCTGTCGCTTGGACATGGTTGGAATGCTCCTTTGCTTTGATTGGTATGTTCGTCTATAAAGTAACAATCGGCTTGCTTATGTTGAAGGTGGTATATCTCGTTGGAAGTCCCAATAAAAGTCTCCAATGTCGTTCTGGTAGGGTCAATTGATTGTGTTCATATGACATGTCCCTGATGACAGCTGTTAGACGCCTGCTGGCGGCCCCAGCTCCAAAACTGTAATGCACAAGTCATTAATAGCTCAGTCCCACAGAGCCCACCCAAGTGAAACGGTTGGAATTTTTGAAGGATGGTGGACTGGTGTTCCCACAGAGTTACCATCCACCGTCCATCAAAAGTCACAGAGGCAGAATTTTTTGAGGGGGTATTTCACTTTATCAAATATTTTTAGAAGTCCTTTTCCTGCTTTTATAATATGGATTAGAGGGTAAATGGTTATCTGAACTTTCAAATAATGGCTACTCTGTATTCCAATCGCTGTCTGGGACCGTTAAATTCCCAAACCCCCTTCCGTTTCGACTACTAAGATGGTCGCCATGTCAATTTAAATTCTTTCGCGCCAAGACATTAGAGTTGCACAGAAAAAACATGGACCATAAGCCGCTGACCCTACGAATTTGTAGGAACTCCGATTCTTATAGGGTATTTCTACAGAGAGCCATCCACCTTTCCACCATCCTTTTTGCCGTGACAAAAACTTCCCAGTTAGTCCGCCGTTAAAATTTGACGGACAAAGCGAAAGTTAGCCGATGTTCCTGCGGTTCAGCCCTCTTTCCACGCAGTCCATCCCTAAAAAACCGTAGGAATTTTCAACAAAAGTGAAACTCCAGTTTCCACAGAGCGCATCAACCTTCCACCTTCCGCTGATCTTAACAGCTGTAGCTCGTCAAAGCATAAACAAAGATGGTTGACCTATTGACTATGGTGGATAGGTGTTCTTACAGAGCCACCAATAGTTATCATCCACCATCCGTCAATAGACCCAGTGGCGTAAGAAGAATTATTTGGAGTGGGTCTTTAACGATTTTAGACCGTTTCAGAAGTAGTTTTTTAAAGTTAATATTTTATTTTAAAGCTATGGACTAGTGGTTAATAGGTTATAGCCTTATAGCTCTTTTTACAGATATACATCCACCTTCCACCATCTCTTGAACGGATGGTTCATAACGTTTTGCCGTTCCAAAAATTTCACAGTTTGTCCACCCTTAAAATTTACGGGCTTTGACGGACTAATTTATGCAATAGTTGGCCGATGTTTTTTCGGTGTAACCCTCTTCCCACGCTGTCCATCCCTGAAAACACGTTGGGATTTTTGAAAAGTGTGAAACTCCGATTTCCACAAGCACATTCACCATCAACCTTCCGATAACAGCTTACCTGAAAAGCTGTAGCTCATCCAGATACAAGCAAATATGGTTGACCTGTTGAATTTGTTTATGTTTTGACGAGCCAAAGCTGTTCAGATCAGCTGTTATCGGGAGGTATATGGATCTTTGTGGAAAGAGGCTATTAAGAACGTTTGTTCACCAGAAACCATTTACAGCGAAACCTTACGAACCAACTGTCAAACAGATGGTATATGGTGCTCTGTGGTGTTCCATGTATTTTTTTTCTGAGTGTATATAATTTTGGCAATAAAAATCAGTCGGTCTTTGTGTAGATTTGTTAATGATAGCTTACAAATTCCGAAAAAGTCACAGAAAAACTAAAAAAAACTCTTAGAATATTTACACTGGCTTACTTATTAGTATTGACAAAATCCTGCAGAAATAAAACCTTGATTTTCCGGTACAGTTGGACTTCCTGATTCAGATTTCATGCCTATTTTATTTTTATATCTCCAGTTCTGTTTAACCGACTTGGGTCATCAACAGCTTCTTCAACTTTTTAAAGCATGTTATGTTCTGATATGCTGCCTTTATATAAGACAGAAATAAGCCGATCATGTTAATGTAATAGCCTGATTCCATTGCCGCATTAGAGGACTTTTTAAATGTGCCTGATTCCATTGGCGCATTAGCATTTAGCTAATGCTACTCCGACATATGAGTGGCCCGAACAGCTGATCTGGGTTTGTTTACTTTTGAATTTTGGCAAATCCAAAAGAAATTAATTAAAATAGTAATATCCTGATTCTATTTGCGCATTAAAACGGGAATCCCATAAGGCTAAATGCCGCATTTAAAAAAAGAGATAAATAAATACGATTAAAAATCATTCGCCTCGAACGGTTTTAGAATAAATACCGGAA